TATCTCTATTTCTTTGGTAAGAAAGCAAGTCCACTGCTCCATATATTCATGGCTTGTTTTATAAAATTCTGTATCCGTCCTTTTCACAAATTCTTCATCAATATCAGTACCACTATCTTTCAATTTTAACATTAATTGACGTACCATAAATGGAAGAAACTGATTGCTCTGTTTCTGAGTTAAATTGTCTTTTAATTGATTGATTTCTTTTGAAGCTTCAATTGCCGATACAGTCTGACCTTTAAGTTTTAAGACAGCTTGATAAAAACTTGCTGACTGAGTGTGTAAAAAATAAAACCACAATTCGGATGTGGGATCTTCAAAAAAAGTTTTTTAGTAATGGGACATTTTTCAATACTCAAAAAGTAGCTTTTTAATGGCTGATACAATTTTAAAACCCTCTCCAAAGCAGGCATAAGAGCAAGCCATCTGGTTTTACTATAGCCGAGCATTTGTTGATATTCCGTTTCAGTTTTGGCACAAAACTCTAGGTAACCCATCTGTAGCAGATTTTATTGCATTAGGAATTACATGGGCTTCACATCCAATACCTATTAAAAGCCAACCAGCGGCTGAGCGGTAAAGTCGCTGAACACTGGTAGTTCGGTCCGAGGTTCGAATTCCACAAACTTGCTGGCTGCATGGGCGTTTTCGTGGTTTTCCCCATGTGTAACGTGTATACGAGCCAGTTTTCCTTAGAAAGTCCTCCACAAAGGCACCCCTCCTCTTAGGCAGATAGCCCTCGAGGCTCTGCAGTAATCACACACACACAAATAACTATTAATTCTTTTTTCAGAGATGATTGTAATTTCGTTAATACATTGTTAGTTCCTCGCCTAACCTCTCCTCCGAAATTGATGTTGGCGTTGGCTACGACTTTTGCTGTCAAATTATTATCTGTCAATACTTGGTTTAAATAATTGACAATGATGTCAGGAGTTTCACCAGGTTGGTCTTAGAAATCTAAAATTTTTACTTGCACACCTATGTAAGGTTGAAAAAAGCGCACTACAATGGGGTATACAGTCAAAAGTCGTTAATTCGGAATGATCTATAATCCGGACCTGAAAACTAAAAACTTTCTGCGCATGCGCCGCGTTGACACATGCGCATAGGCGTTTACGCGTGCGCTAAGACCTTTTACGACTGCGCATATGAGCGTGCGCAAGTGCAGAATACGTTTTTGCGTGCGCGTTTTATGTATAATGGACGTATAAGCTAAAATTATCTAATTATCTATTTCAGTTAATGTTAATGATTGCGATGTTCCTTAATTTTTGAATTGGATCCGGCTTATTATTTTTTGCAGACTGTAAGAGCAATTTTATAAAAGTAAGCTTAAACTTTCGATTATATCAAATAGAATTTCCGATATATATTTGTTAATATGTAAAGGATCTAAAGCGAAAGTATGTTTTGAAATCCAAAATCTGTTTATCAATTTCACGCTGCTCGGCGGGTGGAACGCCGTGGCGAGCGCATAATGAATTGGAAGTTGATCTGTCAGCACTATCCATATCTTCAGCGCAGATGTTTTTATTTTATTTGGCTTATAATTCCTTACCAAATGTAGTATTTCATCTCGATATGCTCTGTCTTTGATATGATTTAAAACAAGTTTCCTCGTCATTATAATTCGCTTTCCGATAGCGAAGAAAAGTGACAGAGGTTATTGAAAACAAAAAAATTTCAATTGACAAATTAGTCGGTGTTCTTGACACAGCAATTATAGGACTTGAACAGCGGAACTTTGTAACTGAACAAGAAATTATGTCTGTTTAATAGAATTAAAGAGAAAGTATTATCACATGAAATGAAGCAAAACTTAAACAACTTACATTGAAAGAAATGTTTAATAAAGTAAACAAATAAATATTAAGCTTTTTCTTTTTGCAAATTTTGATACCCTTTAGATCATAATTGTTCTTTATTTCATAAATTACGGTTTCATATTTTTAATTTTAGAATTTCTGCATGCCATCTAACGAGATTTAAACTGATGATCTATAATCCGGAAAAATCGATAATCCGGAATCGACGAAGTCCCGACGAGTCCGGATTAACGACTTTTGACTGTATTTTCTTGTTACCATGGTTTGACGCGCTGTTTAGTATTGTAATACAATTGCACTTATTAAGGTCATCTTTTAATTCTTTCATTGTTGTAGGCATCAAAACATTTACTACAATAGTTTCTGATTTTGTGCGTGTGCATGTAAATTTGGGATTAAAACATGATTGAATCAATTTCGATGCACAATCATTAGAATGAAAACAGTTTTTTTCTTGTATCGTGTGATAAGCCCAGACGCCTTCTGCCGCGGCGATATCCAAGTCCTTCAAAGTTGGCGCATCTGATTTCTTGAAAAAGCTTAACAATAAAGAACTCGAAGCGGCAGCACGATCGCCATTTTTATGTTTGTCAGACTTTGCGGTGACAAACATAAAGACTCAGTGGTAGCGGTGATATTGAAATGCTGTTCAATATCACCACTGTGGGAAACACTAAATTCTGTACTTTTCACATCTGACATCTGATGGAGTATTTATTTGCTTGATAAACGGATATTTTTCTTCTAAGCTAACATTGAACGAACACTTGCGTTTCGGCATTTTAACTTGTGATTCCAAAGCAAAAGAAGTTTTAATTATTTACTACACGAGCATCAAACAAAAACAAAACAAATAGCGAGAAGTGGGCAAATGAAAATTTTGTCAAACAATAGTCAATAAGTCAACAAAACACGAGCGATATGACAGCTTGGTCACTCTCGGCTGTCGTTGCGTCGGCGATGACATGGTCTCGCTCTTGCACACCACTAGCTCGCGTCCAGTTGGTACGCGCGTCACATTGCGGCGGCGTGCAGGGCAGTGGCCGCCTGTCTGCTACTCAAATTTTCGTGTGATTTCTGAAACCGGGACAATTTAACGTCTCATAATCCATTTGGGGAACACCGGGACTCGTAATTGTAAAAAGGGACAGTCCCGTTCAAAACAGGACGTCTGGTCACGTTAGTTATTGCTCAACTAATGTTGTTTGCTTTCAAAATATTTAATTTTTAAAGGAAGAAAAAATGCTATGCTTTAAAAAAGTACTAAAATTTTTGTAAATTTTCTTCACATTTGTATGTTATTTACAGCTGGAAAAAGTTGTTTTCCTTATGCAAAAGAAAGCAAAAATCACATCCTATCAAAATAGGAAATGGTGACAATCTGTACGCTATAATACCTAATATTAACCAACCACATGGGAAAGAAATATGAATAAGAGGTTTTTTTTTTTTTTTTTTTTTTTTTTTTTTTTTTTTTCTCCTGAGTGTTGTCTAGTATAATCTCCACCTCACGTGCCATATAATATGCAAATAGAAAGTAATGTCTATCTATTTGCCATAAACTTTACACTTCCTCTTTTTTTTAAAAAAACCTATGTGTAGCTTAAGAATAAATATTTCTTATTGTTAAAAACATCAATCTATTTGCCATAAACTTTACACTTCCTTTTTTTTCTTTTTTTTTTTTTTCCTTTTTTTTTTTTTTTTTTTTTTTTTTTTAAACATATGTGTAGCTTAGGAATAAATATTTCTTATTGTTCAAAACATCAGTTTCCATTAATTTTACATTATACTAGTACAATTCATGAGGCTTCAGGTATAAAACTGGAATCAGAAAATATTTTTAATTTGCAGACTTTCTCTTCCAATTACTAAGAATTGCATCAGAAGTTTTTTAGCGTATGGCAAAAGCTTTGTTAGAAAATAATTCATTTAATGCTGATAATCCCAAGTTGAAAGTAGTTTTTCCTTTCCTTCCTTTTTTGGCAAATGAAGATAAAAGTATTTTTTCCCCTTCCTTGATTATCTGCAAAATATATTTATGAGTAATTACACAAGGGCAAGCAGTTTGAGGTAAGTCAGTTTTCTATTTTCTGTAAATGATATCGTCTTTTTTGTAGTTGTTGTCCAATTAAAAAAAAAGAAAAAAAGTGTTAAGTGTGAAATTCACAAACTAAGGTAAGTTTATGCTTCATGTTATTAAAATTCTTTGAGGTATTGATGAAGAACTTTAATAACATGAAATATAAATGTTACACTGCAGCTTGAAAATATGCATTATATGCAAGCATATAATACATATTTTCAAGTTACAGTGTAAACATTTAAAAGAAACGTTAGTAAGTAGGCAGTCACCCTTGTGAGCTTTCATGATGCAAGTGGCTACCTCATTCAGTTTGCAGTTGGAAGACACACTGCTCATTTGCTAGTGACAGCAGCTTATTTTTTATGTGTACTGCTCTAGAAAGCTTGAAACTATCTGCCGTGATGTCTGAATATTGTAAGTGATAACTCGTCACTACATGGATTTAGTCATCTGGACCTTGCTCCTCTCTAGTTACCCTTTAACTGGGGAAGAGATCATGGTTAATGTGATTAGTATGTGCTACTGACAATTGAAAGATCCTTGATTGTAGTACCAATTGGATTTTCTTTCTGTGAAAAGCCTAATAGTGTCTACAAGTTTTCTTCTTTATTATTATGTAAAGGGGATAGATTTTTGGTTCTTTTTTGTGTTTTGTTGTGTTAGTTTAAAGTATGTATATCAAGAATTAAAAAAAAAAAAAGGGGGGATATGTATTTTTATGCAATTAACTGATTGTTCACTGTGTATGTTAACTTTTGACTGATTTACATATGTAACCCTTTAGATGCCATGTATTATCTTTGTGATCTGTTATTACCCATTAACTCAGAGACGTTGTCGTATGCACTTAAAATTATTCGATACTTTTTAATGCATAATCTGCATTACTTGCATTAATTAGTTCAAATATAAATTAGAGTATATGTATATGTGCTTTAATCTAAGCAGTGCTGTGCTGTTGACCAAGTCCATTAATTTCACTTACGGCACCTTAAGGTTTAAATCAGAAGCTGATATATTTGTGACATTATGATTTGATGGCATATTTTAAAGCTTAAATTTCATTTCTGTGTATCTTGCAGAAAATGAGAAGGACAGTGAAAATTTAGCATTTTCTGTAACAGAGGATGATGTATTATTATTCAAAAAAGCTCAAGAAATTGCTGAATTAGTAAGTCGGTTTTATCTTATTGGTCTTGAAAATGCATGTCTTAATCTAACAAAGTGTAGCTTTGTGAAAATGTACAGATAAGAATTTTGCAATAACTAGATGTGAAAAAAGATTTTATAAGAAAATCAGAAATGAGATTTGTGTTAAGATTATCTTATACAGTCAAAAGTCTTTAATCCGGAATGATCTATAATCCGGACCTCAAAGCTACAAACTTTCTGCACATGCATCAACGCATGCTCATAATACCTTTACGCATGTGCATATGCATGTACGCATGCGCATAATACGTTTACGCATGCACGTTTAATGTATAATGGACGGTATAAGCTAAGCTAAAATTATCTAATTATCTATTTCAGTTAATGTTGCAGATTGCATTGTTCCTTAATCTGCTAATTGGATGCGGCTTATTATTTTCTGCAGACTGTTAGAGCAATTTTATAAACTTTGAACTTTTTTTTTAACTTTCTTGAACTTTTGATTATGTCAAAAAGAATTTCCGATTCTGAAGCTACCAAAGGATCTACAAACCGAAAGCATGTTTCGATGTCCATCAAACAAAAAGTGGAATTGCTGCAAAAAGAATGGATAAAGGCATATCCTTTGATTCTCTAACCATTCCGAAATCTGTTTATCAATTTCACGCTGCTCTGCTCGGGGGGGACGACGCGGCACGCAATGAACTGGAATTTGATCTGTCAGCACTATCCTTATCTTCAGGGCAGATGTTTTTATTTTATTCGGCTTATAATTCCTTACTAAATGTAGTACTTCATCTCGATGTACTCCGTCTTTGATATGATTTAAATCAAATTCCTTGTCATTATGAATATCACGAATACACATCAAATAGTTTTCTGGTTTCAATTTTTTAATTTCAACTACACGTAATGTATGCTTTACGCATGCACGCGTTGAAAGAAATATTTAATAAAGTAAACAAATAAATATTAACCTTTTTTTTTTTTTTTTTTGTAAATTTTGATACCCTTTAGATCATAATTGCTCTTTATTTCATAAATTACTGTTTCATATTTTTAATTTTATAATTTCTGCATGCCATCTTACCAGATTTAAACTGATGATCTATAATCCGGAAAAACTGATAATCCGTAATCGCTGAAGTCCTGACGAGTCCGGATTAAAGACTTTTGACTGTATAAAATTACTTCTCCCCCTTCATAGTTAGATATAGAAAGAAGACTCAGTAATTTTCATTTATAAAATAACTGTATTGGGAAATAAGTTATTTTGATATTCTCTTCTTTCCAAATGCCTGATTTTTGTTCCAAAACCATTACGTAATCTAGATTTCTAATATTAAGCAGTTCAAATCTCAATTAGATTGTATATTGTTGCATTCTACAAGTTCATGAATTTGAAGTGATTGATGACAACACTTGATAAAGAATGAAAACACAATTTATTTGCCAGTATTACTTAGGACAGTTCCAAAATAATGTTTACAGTCATCAAAAACCTATGACAAACATACTGAAATGATAAGCAACGCAGCATTTAGGATATCAGGCTATAGCGGTGAAGACAGCTTCACGGCCAAACACTGAATGCAGTTATTGACTCAGTCAATCGCTTTTGGAGCTCAAGGTAAAACTCGTAAGTACACTTGATAATGTACTCACAAAAACTGCTACTCTGCATTACAGGCAGGTTTTATATAGCTTTTGGCCTGCCTTCGAGAACATTCTGGGGTAAACCAGTAAGAATTAATTTGAGAAGGTTCTCTGTCTGTCTTTGGCATATTGCCAATTTTGTCTGCAAAGGACGATTTCTTGCCAAATCTGGCAACCCTAAATCCACTTTATGGGGTAGCTATCTTATCGCAACTGGGCATTTCATAACACTGACCCCTTCCAAGGACTGCATGTCCCTGGCTGTACATTCCTTGGTCACAAACCAAATTCGATGCAGACAAAAGGTAATAAAACAAAACAAAATAAAATAAGATAAGGAAAGAAACAAATATTTAAACTGTTTACAAGTTATACACACAAATTAACCACATAACAATTTTAAACTGTATAAATTAAAGTTCAGAATGAATTTCAGTTCCAGGCTTTTCATTAAGTTTTACCCAAGTTAAATACTTTTTCACTGCAATCCTCAGATGTATGTCTGTTTTGCATATCACGGTCTGAAGAGTCAGTCCTTTCAGATTTTTCATTCTCAGGATAACCTGAAACTGTCAGCTGTAGTTTATTCGCATTACGTGTACAGTTCACCTCAGTATTTTTAGTAGTTGTTATATGCTTATTTACCTCTATTTCATGGAAACCAGTTCTGATGTTTCCATCAGAGTTATAAATAGAATTCATTTCTTTACAAACAGAAGTATAATGGTTTAAAATCATGTTTGTGTCTGTACAAATTGTATTATGAAACACATATTTAGTTTGAAAAGTGTTGTATTTTCTTGCAATACTGGAGCACTCTGCTTAAGCTGTACATCAGCTTCTCCTATCTCTGCATCACATGAATTTTCAGATGGTTCAATACTTGCTAACTTCAACTTCGTAACTTCACTATCAGTTTCTACAAACTTAACGGTCACATTTTCACTTTTTTCCACTTCTACTTCAAGCGTTTGAGAATCAAAAGCTTCTTTCCTGTCTTTTACTTTTTCGTGTTTTTGTTCTTTTTTATAAATCCCGTTACATGTTTCATTCATCATTTCTTGATCTTTCTCAGACACTTCCTCAGCTACTTCCTTCATTTCTTCATTCCTTTGACTCTTCAGATGCCACTTCTGTCATTTCCACACCTTCTAGTTTGGCTCCAGTTTTCTCTCTAAACTCCACGATGTTGCTTCTAAACTTCTTTTGGTCCACTGCCATCTGTTGCCATTTCTCTTGTAGCTTTTCTTGCCTGGCTTTTATTTCTTCCAGTCCGGTTTTTGCAGCTGCTGAGAAGTCTGTCAACTTTATTTCCTCCACCATGCCTTTTTGCTGGAGGCGGGTCACTGGCATTCACTCACAAATGCCACTTCTGACGGCAGTTGTTGCTTTTCTGTGGGCTTGTGGATTTGGAGTGATTGATGACAACATTTAATGAAGAATCAAAACACAATTTATTAACCATTATTACTCCGGATAATTCTAAAATCACATTTACAGTCATAAAAAACTATGACAAACACACTGAAACAATCAGCAACACTGCCTTCAGGCTATAATGATTAAGACAGCTTCACGGCAAAACACTAAATACAGCTCCTGACTTGGTCGATCGCTCTTGGAACTCAACAAACTCAAGGTAAAACTCAATGATGCACTCAAGATAAAACTGCTGCTCCTCATTACGGGCGGGCATTCGAGAACATTGTGAGGTAATTGGTTCTAGAATGTTCTCACTCTGTCTATGGCATATCACCAATTTGTTACCAATTTGGCAACCCTGCCTGTCCTTGCCATTTTCTGGCAACCCCAAACCCACTTTGCGGGTAAGCTATTTTACTGTGGCTGGGCATTTTGTGACAATATATAAGTGCTTATTTAGCCATGAGACTCTTAATGCATTTTATTCTATAAAATAAAATTTAAAAAAAATAAAACTTAAGCTGCAGTCAATATTTAATAAACAGAAAAGAAGAAATTAAGGTTATGAAATCTGATGATCTTAATAATTTTCTTGCTACTTTTTAATGCATTCTGCATTTAAAAACTTCAGACCTTTATTTCATTTAAATGATATAAGAAGTATTATACACTCAAGAGCCAAAACGTTATGACCACCTGTCAATAACGAGTTGGGCCACCTTTGGAGCGCAACACAGCTTCAACCCGCCTTGGCATGGATGCCACAAAGTCCTTGATAGATGGACGGAGACAAATTGTACCAGGTGTTGTAGCAACGGTCATGCAAATCCGAGATAATGTGAATTGGTGGTCTTTGACCTCTGAGCTGCCGTCCCATGACATCCCAAATGTGTTCTATTGGATTGAGATCAGGTGAGTTAGGCGGCCAGGACATTAACTGGAAATCGGCATCATGTTCCTGGAACCACTCCAACACAATTGTAATCTTGTGGCACGGGTCGTTGTCCTGTTGGAACATTCCATTTCCAGGTGGAAAAACAGAGGCCATGTAAGGGTGCAACTGGTCCACAATGATGTTCAGATACCCTGTAGCATTCATGGTCTGCTCTACCACAAACACGGGTCCCAGAGACGCCCAAGAGAACGTTCCCCAGAGCATAATACCGCCACCACCGTTCTTTGTATGACCTACTGTGCATTGAGGGAGCAACTGTTCGCCTGGAAGACGGCGTATCCTGACACGGCCATCGGCGTGATGAATGACAAACCGTGATTCATCTGACCAGGCAACTCTCCCACTGATCCATGGACCAGTTGCGATGTTCCGAGGCCCAGCGCAGGCGCAGTTGACGATGACGCTTGGTCAGCAAAGGCACACGAGTGGGACGTTTGCTGCGTAGCCCCATATTCAACAGTGTCCGCTGAACAGTGTTCTCCGATACTTTTCTACTTGGCTCTGCATTGTATTCGGCTGTCAGCTGAGCCACTGTCTGGCTCCGGTTTTGCTTCACCATGCGACACTGTCTCCGACGACCTTTTTCTTTGATAGCATGTGAACGTCCAACACCATGTCGTCTACTGCTGGTTTCACCATGATTCATCCACTTTTCATGCGTACTAACAACTGTAGATCTCGAACAACCCACGAGTCGTGCAGTTTTGGAAATACTTGTTCCGAGCCTTCGAGCCATTACAATCTGCCCTCTATCAAAGTCGCTTAAATCCGCAGCCTTTCCCATTACACACATAATTAAGTGAAAGAATGATTCTTCAGACTCTCCACCAGCAGTTAAATACCACTTCCACCTGATCATGGGCCATCCACGTCATCCAGGCGTGTTCATCACAAAATGTAGGGCTGGTCATAATGTTTTGACTCTTGAGTGTATATGTATAACTAAAGAAGAGTTCATTTTATTACAGTTTATTAAACTATTGTGCCATAATTATATGTTATACTTTAAATGCATGAATATTTTTGAAGAATGCAATTTGCAAAAACTTGTTATATTCTGTAAATAGTTATCGATTTCAGATCCTCTCTTTGGAATATTATCATCATCAGTGGTTAGCTACTGAGAAATTTTTTCAAAGCATGGCAGAAATTCATTTCAGACAGTAGTCTAAAATTCTTTCACAATCTATACCTTTAGCATTTCTGCTTTTACCATTTTATTTGCTTTCAGCTAGTTTTTTAAGAGTAAAGAAAATTTTTATTTTCATCAGTCAATTAACTTAAATACATAAAAACCATTCCTGATCAAAGATTTGATTATCTACTATTTTGCACTATGGCAAGATCATAAATTTTCATTAATAAAATTCTTATATACTTCGAAAAAATGAAATTATTAGGAAATGAAAGTTGACTTGTTTTTAAATTTTTTAATTATTGTTTTTTCCACCAATTTTAAGTACAGTTTGATTGAGTTTTATTGTTTATGATTTTGGTGTTTATAATTTTTTAAATCTAAGTAAGTTATTGTATGTAAATAAAGGAAGTAGGCATGCAAATGTAGTAATGATGTAAGATCTAGTAATGTGCTTTTATTTTTGATGTGGTAATAATTATTTTTACACATAAACAGTTGTGGCATCTTTTTAGAGAATTAAGTCTTATGACAATGAATATCAGAATTTTCTAATTGTTTAAGCAGTTCTTATTTATCAAAATTTTAGCTATTTTTCTTTTAATTATGTTCGTATAAAAATTAAAAGTCTCCCCCTTAGGTTATTAAACCCAAGTCTGACTCTGATGCAACATCTCGTAAGCCATCTTTATTGCAATTTGGAAAATATGAAATATCAGTGCTTTATTCTTCGCCTTATCCTAAAGATTATTTAAGGTAGGAATACCCTTTCTCTGTATGCAGATATTTTGTATTTTTGCTGTTTTTGTACTGTATGATAGGGTTTCCATGATCTTAACATAGTTATTAATTCTTTCATAGTGTTAATTATTATAGGAGAAAGTACATAATTTTTCGTATAACATAGTTTTCTTAATTTAACTTTTTTTGTTTTTGTTTTGTTGTTGTTGTTATTGCAGAGAGATACAAATATTGCTTATTTTTATATATTTATTATACAGATATTGCTTATTATTATTGTTGCATGAAATTGCTGCATGTTAAAAACAATTACATGGAATTTTAATTGTAAGCCTGTAGTATGACATTGCTGCCAATTCTCCTAGTTTTACTGGAAGACTTATTTCTCATCACATCATCTCATTCACCCTGTAGATCACAGAATCTTCGGGGTTTTAATTTTTAGCCTTTACTGAAGAAAATATTTCCCAGCAATAAATAAAATTTATTGAATTAATAAAATTTAAATAGTGCAAAGTTCATCCTCCCACCCCTGGTGATTTGCTAGGCATGATTTTTATTAAATTTTATTTGATCTGAGTTTTGTAATCTATAGGCAATATTTTTTTTTTTTTTTATTTTATAAACATTTTGTAATCTATAGACATAGTAAAACTTTTTGTGAAGATTTAGCAAATCTTTCATCCTTTATTGTTTTATGTGAATATATGGTATATGAGTAAATTTATTCTTTCAATAGTGTGTACATTAATTATTAATTTGGTTTTCATGATTTTTAAGAGTTGTTATTGTGTCTTTGATGAAGGCTTTTCAAATAGTGCCATGGATGACAGCCCTGACAATCTGCAAAATGTTATCATTGTAGAGGTTTGGTTTCTTAAACAAGAATCCAATTTTTAACAATTCAGCAAGGATGGCTGGGCAATCAAAAATGTGTGCAGTTGTCAATTCTGTGTCTGGGCAGTTACCATAGTTTTTGTAGGTTTTTCAACCTTCTCCTTTCAATTTTCAACCCTCTGTGATGGCCAGTTCTAAGCCTGGCTAAGGTTTTAGTTAAAAGTCGATCTCCATGGATGTTATGGAGTTGGTGCTTTATTTGAATTGAATGGTCCTTCAGTATTTGGCCATGACATTTGTGTATGAGAGGGTGACATTATTATTATTATTATTATTATTGAGATTTTGTGCCTCTTTTGCCAGTTTACCTGCATTCTCGTTACCTGTGATGTTGACATGCACTGGCAAACATTGAAGAATGCAGACCTTATCTAACTTTTTAATCTTGTGTAGGTGAAAGTGAATCCCATTGGAGATCAAAGAGCTTTTGTCCAAGGTTGCCTATATAGCTGCTTTAAGTAACAAAAGACATCGAATCCGTTTAGAGTATTTAAGACTACTTTGATAAATAAAAGATTTCTCTAAGTAGATTTTGAATCTCAGCGAATAGACTGACTGTGTGGGTGTTTCCATGGTTTTCCCCATGTGTAATATGTATACGAGCCAGTTTCCTTTAGAAAGACCTTCACGAAGGCATCTCTTCCCATAGGCAGATAGCCTTCGTATGCTTTGCCATAATTAAATTCATCAAACATCAAGTATAGACCTCTATGTCTTTCTGCATGGAACTGTGAATACTGATGCATATAGAAATGATACCTCTGATGCTTATGTGTGCCCTTATGCTGGGGCAATAGGTGATGATTTCCTGCTATAGGATGACAATGTTAGACTCTACAGGACTCGCATCATGGATGATTATCTTACGCAGCAAACAGTTTAGCATGCAGAATGGCTAGCTCAATAACTGTACTCCTATGGAATTGATAGACCGCATAATTGATATTGCTGTATGTGCTGTTTTGTTTCTAGGGAAGCTCATACTTCGCACTGAAGGTAATTTTCCTATATCAAACTGACAAATCTGATTTGTTCATATACATTTGTTAGTTTCATATATTCATATGCTAATTTATATAACACCATAATTGGCTGCTAATTTCTTTTCATGTTATTTTGTACCATATTATGTGTTGTATACTGTAGCTCAGTTTCATTACATTTTTCATGTAATTTTTTGAGTAATCATTATTTATGTGATTTTTCCTTAATTAATGATACCTAGTGTGTTAATACATTTTACATCAAATTAATTTTGTCAATTGTTCTGTAATCTGACTTATGAATTTTAAAATGAACTTGGTCAATTTGGACTTTGTACCATCCAGCTCAAAAACCCCCCAGAAATTCCCAGCTCTTTGTATAGTTCTTCAAATGTGATAGCTATAGTACAGTTATGTGATATATTTGAACTTGAATGTCGTAAACACACTTTCAGGCTTAATCGTTATACACTTAACTAATCTTGGTAGTACAGTCAAAAGTCGTTGATCCGAACTCGTCGGGACTTCGGCGATTCCGGATTATTGATTTTTCCGGATTATAGATCATCAGTTTAAATCTCGTTAGATGGCATGCAGAAATTCTAAAATTAAAATATGAAACCGTAATTTATGAAATAAAGAACAATTATGATCTAAAGGGTATCAAAATTTGCAAAAAGAAAAAGCTTAATATTTATTGTTTACTTTATTAAACATTTCTTTCAATGTAAGTTGTTTAAGTTTTGCTTCGTTTCATGTGATAATACTTTTCTTCTTTAATTCTATTAACAGACATAATTTCTGTTCAGTTACAAAGTTCCGCTGTTCAAGTCCTATAATTGCTGTGTCAAGAACACCGACTAATTTGTCAATCGAAATTTTTTCGTTTTCAATAACCTCTGTCACTTTTCTTCGCTATCGGAAGCGAATTATAATGACGAGGAACTTGTTTTAAATCATATCAAAGACGGAGCATATCGAGATGAAATACTACATTTGGTAAGGAATTATAAGCCAAATAAAATAAAAATATCTGCGCTGAAGATAAGGATAGTGCTGACAGATCAACTTCCAATTCATTATGCGCTCGCCGCGGCGTTCCCCCGCCCCCAGAGCGTGAAATTGATAACAGATTTCGGATTTCAAAATACTTTCGCTTTAGATCCTTTACATTAACAAATATATATCGGAAATTTTATTTGATAAATCGAAAGTTTAAGCTTACTTTTATAAAATTGCTCTTACAGTCTGCAAAAAATAATAAGCGGATCCAATTCGAAATTAAGGACATCGCAATCATTAACATTACTGAATAGATAATTAGATAATTTTAGCTTATACTTCCATTATACATAAACGCGCACTCGAAACGTATTCTGCACTTGCGCACGCCATATGCGCAGTCGTAAAGGTTAGCGGCACGCGTAAACACCTGCGCATGCGGCGCTTCTGTCCCAGACCATGCGTTTTTTTCTCCTGATCATCCCTTTTTCCTTTCCGTTTAATTAGGGTGTCCGAATTAAACGACTTTGATGTTTTGATATAGCAAGAAATAAACAAGAGGCTTTAAATGTGAAGATTTCCTAAAAAGATTCAGTTGAATTCCCTAAATCATTAAAAATTCTCATTGATCTAATGTTTTACAGCTTCTATTTATGTGACTTTTATTGGTTTTGTGTGTGTCTGGACATAGTGTGTACATTTTCAATAAGTAGCTGAAGTTATTATGTTCTGCAATTGCATTACGTGCATGTTTATCATTATACAGTACAAAGTCCAAGATCTGGACATCCAATATTCTTAATGATATAAAATCGGGACCTCAAAGCCTTTTTTTAAGGATTTCTTTTTTTTGTACATGTTATGCATGCGCATATGATTTTTTTTCCCCATAATAAAACATGCGGAGATCTTCGATTCTTAACTTCTCTTTGCCGCTAAATAAAGTACCTCATTATTAAAAAAAACAATCATTTTAGCATAAATTTGTGTGATCAATAATTTGATGCTATAGCTGCATATCTGCTTGTCATACATCTCAAAATGAAACATTTTACATAGAACCATTGTTGTACACCAAGTAATATATTATTACCCCGACACCCCCCCCCTTAAACCTGGTGAATCATTATTTTTTATATTTGGCTTTAATCTCCGCATGTTTATCAGGGCATGGCAACTTTTGTAATGACTCGTGCAGCAATGACTCAGATTTTTTTTTTTTTTTTTTTTTTTTTTTTGTGTGTGTGTGTGGTGTGTTAATAATTGAATAACAAAGAGTAAGGTAAACTTCTTTGTTGACATTGCGCTTGACAGTAATTGTAGATTTAAGTTAATTGCGCTAAAATGTTGACAAGAAAACATTCAACAATTTTTTTTTTTTTTTTTCCATATGCTAAAAATAGATTTTTTTTTTAATGATACTTATAAGCCAAAGACTAGGCAGTTGTTAGAAAAATTTAGGACCCGCAGATATTGCATCAGGCAGTATATATCTATCGCTGGCCCTCGATAAGCCTTAAGTATATGCATGAATTGATATATTGACGGCTCAGATAAGCCTTAAGCATGTGCAAAAAATAGATGTAAGTGTGATAAATAACTAAAATAATAGAATTATGGCTTAGTTGTTAGTGCGCAATAGAAGTAAGATGAAATTTAGCGAAACAACTTGTCTTTCGTCGCCAGCCTCGTGGCAGCTGATTAATGAAGCTGCTGAACTATTTGTGAATAAATTTATTGAACTCACTAACAGAGAAAGGTTATCTCAACAAATTTACAATGCTGATGAAACTGGTCTTTTATAGCAATATGTACTGGAAAATACTTAGGCAAACTCTACAGAAAAGGCTCCAACTAATGTCAAAGATTCCAAAGCGAGACTAACAATTTTAGCATGCGCAAATACTGCAGGGATGCATAAGTGCAAGCTTTTCGTAATCAGAAAAAATAGAGCATTTAAAGGAGTAAAGAGTTTCTTTCCCCTTTATATAGCATGCAAATAAAATCATGGATGACAGAAGCATTAACCTTTTAACTGTCAAGTTATTTTGATGATTTGGGTGCATAAATTGTCAATTTTTTTATTCCAAAAATGAAATGTTTGCCTCAAAGTCAAAAAAGCTGCGCACTTTGAACTTTAACCTCTATCCTTTGAAACCTTCAGTCAAATGCTGCCATCTGTTGAACTGAAGCCAAAATAAACTTCTCACGATATATATTCGGGTATAACAATATGATGCACTCAAAAAAAAATTAGCCCAAGTAATATTTGGGCATGACATTTTGAAATATCAGTGCTGTGCCCGAGATTATTTTGGGCATGACAGTTAAAAGGTTAATGAATGTGTGGTTTGAAAATCATTTCATACCCGAGGCTCGGCAACATTTAAATTCCGTTGGTTTACCTAATGACACAAAAATTATTCTGGTTGTAGACAACTGTACGACTCGTACTTCATTTAAAGTTTTAGTGAAAGATAATGTATCCACATTGTTTTTGCCTCCATTTACGTCAGTCATTCAGCCTATAGATATCAGAATAGAGCGAGAGCTGAAATGCAAATATAAAGTAGCATTTTTAAAATCCATATTAAATTTCTTGAATAATGGCAAGACTATTCAAGAATTTTTGAAATGTTTTTGCATAAAATCTGCTGTATGGAGCATCGGAAGATCCTGGGAGGATGTGTCTGCAGATGCTTTAAAAAATTTTCGGCATAAATTATGGCCAGTGACTATATTTCATGGTGAGACTAATGAAGATGATAACGACGAATTTGAAGGTTTTCGGATATCACAAACCAAAGGTGAAATTTTCCAATTGATAGATTTGATAAAGAATTGTGGAGAAGCGATAATAAATGAAAAAGATAATGCAGACGTTTTTCATTGTGATAAAAATGCCCCAATTATCAATCAATTAATGAGCAGCAAAATCTGTAGTATGGTTCTAGATCCGGAAAATACCGCTAGCGATTGTGAAGAAAGTGACAGAGATTATTGGTAACGAAACAATTTGGATTGATAATTTAGTCAGAAATCTCGACACAGCAATTACAGGACTTGAACAATATGATATTTTGTAACTGGACAAGAAACTGTAACTTTTAACTGGACTGTCTATAGAATTAGAGGGAAAGTATTAACACAAAAATTAAAGGAACTTAAATAACTTACATTGAAAGAAATGTTTAATGAAGTAAACAAATAACTATTAAACTCTTTCTCTTTTTTTTTTTTTTTTTGTGTGTGTGTGTGTGTGTGTGTGCGTGCGTACGTGCCTGCGTGCAAATTCTGATGCCTTTTAGATCGTTAATGCTTCATTCTTTCATAAATCATGATTTCATATTTTAAATTTTATTATTTCTGCATGCCATCTTATTAGATTTAAAATGATGGTCTGATATCCGGAAAAATCCCAAATCCGGAATCGGTGAAGTCCCGATGAGTCCCGATCTCAGACTTTGTACTATATAATAAATTAATAGCATGATATTTTTTTGGGGAAGAAAAGTGTAGTTTGGCATTGATTTTGAATAAAACCTTCAAGGGCAATCAGGCACAGGTCTTCAGAGAGGAAAAGCAATTGGGGAGGGAGTGTAGTTTAAATTAAGAGTGCTTTTTAGTTAGCTTAATTTAAAATTTTAATATTGTCTTTTTTCTCTTTCAGTTTAAGCCTAATATATGTTTATTAATTATGGTTGTTATATAACTGCTCATAAAATTATACTCTAGAAATAAAATAATTGGATTAAAATAGCACTTTGTTTAATAAATCTTATTCTAGGTTATCTAAGCTTCATGTGTGTGAATTCTGTTTAAAGTTTATGAAAAGTATGAAGACTCTTGAGAGGCATTTGGTAAGCTGTTAATTTTTTTTTTTTTTATTTAATAGAAAGTATTAATATACAGCAGTATAAACTTTCAGATTTAGTAAAAAAATTGTGAGAAATTACATATTTTCAATTTATTGTCTAGTTATGTAATTTACAAATGGTTCTGTTTTTCATACATTGTATGATTCTGTTTGAATTTTGATATAGTGTAAAAAGTTCTTAAGAGAATGTTAAGATGGTAAATCGTTTGCTTTTAATAATGCACATGGTATTATGATTATGCATTGCACTATCTATTGTCAGTTGTTGAATTTTCAAAAAGCAGCGAATAAGCTTTGACTTAAATTTTTAATTGCAATCCCTTATGTTACTGTGAAACTTAACTTACACTTCAGCCTTTGGGAACACTGTGAACTCTTTTACATTACTACTGTATTTCCTCGTTCTTTTCTCCACTACATATTTTTATCCCTAGCTTTTTTTAGCACCAGGTTCTGAAAATTTAAAAAAATAAAAAATAAAAAAATTCATAATTCCCCCCCCCTCTTTCTCAGTGCGTTCATAGAGAAAGCTTCTCTAAATTTAAAAATGAATCCATCCACGTAATAATTATTTTTAGCGTACCAAGAAAACAAACCCTTGCAATCTACCTGTGAAGGTCACACCAAATCTTTCTCTTCTTAGTATTAACCTTTATGCCAGCTTAATTCATGAACCAACCAATCACAGCAAAGCAAACATGAACTGGCGTCTACTTTTTCTATTCAGCTGTATGTTCACCTTCTCAAATTATCTGTGGGTAATTTGAGGCCTAAGGAGTAGCAGAGACAACAATAAGAAGAGCGGAGTAGAAATGAAGATATCTTTTTAAACATTGTAATGTTCATATTACTATGCAATCTTACTGGAATGTAAATGTCTTATAAAGAAATATTGTTATGATAGTTACCTGTTATTTATCCATGACTGCTTTTCATATATTTATGTTTTTTTACTGTAATCGTGTCCTTTGGGAATTAATTAAATTATATAATTTTTCCTTTTTGTTTTTCGAATGATTAAATCAGTATCAAAAAAGAGAAAGTTTCACAAGGCAATACAATATTTGCAGGAATGCAGTATCAAATGACCGAGGATAAAACTTGCATCTTTTTGGATGTTGAGTACAAAATGCTGTGCCAGAGGATGGAGGATGAAACTTGCATCTTTTTGGGTGGTCCAAGTGGCACCTGAAGTGTGGCATTTTAACTCCCGCAGTAACAGTAACAACAGTTTTCATTAACAGATTTCGCTATGACCATTTACTGACTCATTATCTGCTAGTTAGATTTACACCAGTGGTATCTGGCTTCATGTACTTCAGAAAATAGGAAATAATTATAACTTTGTCAGCCTTACAGTGTCTTGGCTAAATGATCCATAGAACAGCAACATAATATGTTTTACGTCAAGGATTGCCTAGTAGTGTTGGAACTGGATGCATTTGTATATGGTGGACACAGTGAAACAGCAAATGCTGCTGTGATACACATCAGGTTTTATTCCATTGCATTAAGTTTTAGCATTAAGTTATGCTTTGTTATTAGCATTAGCTAGGTGATACAGTTTTTCAGCACCATGCAAATGCATATGGAATGCAAATTTTTGACACTCTCCCTTACAAGCTTGCAAAGAATATATAAAGGAAAATGTTCATTAGTTAACATTCAGACCTTATTGGAGGAGTTAAAACTCCAAAAATTAGCATAAAATTCATGAATTTGCTGGACTAGTTTTTAAGGTTCTATATTTAAAGCTTTGAAACTAGTCTTGAAAGTTTGTAAATTTTATGCATATTTTTGTTGCTTTACTCCTCCAGCAATTTTTACTCAGTGTGTTAGTTTAACTCAACATATTCAAATGTAATAGATTCATGCATTTCCTATGTTTGTCATTGCCAAGATTATTTTGAAAAATATTGGTTGGTGTTTCTGCTGATATATGTTTTTAACACTGAGTTCTTCCATATTAAATAACTCTCTTAGATAATCAAGATGTCAGTATGTTTAATTCCAAAATGATAACTTTAATTCTTTACTAAAGTGCACTTTGATTATCATTTTGCAGCACGGTTGGTTCAGTTTTTTTTTTTTTTTTTTTTTTCTCTCCCTCAAACAACCAAGCTCTTAATGAGCGAAAAAGCATTGCCTCTTCGGTTGCTTTGCAAATGTATTTCGTCTTCAATTAATGTTAGGTGTTTGACCTCAGTGCCTGAAAGCACTGCAGGTACAGATTGAAGCAAGGTTGATGTCTGTGCATCCAGTCAGCCATAACAGGTATCTCCCGGCCTTGCTAATTAAGTTTCTGCCATGGATGGAATTCCAAGGGAAAGCATCCTGGGTTGCAGTCCGAGGGTATTTCACTACCAACCTCTTAAGAGGATTTTGACTTGCTTTGTATCTTGAATGCACCCCTGCCATATAGACAGTATATACAGACTTACAAGCATTCACATCTTCTCTGGATTCAAATCCAGGTCTTTCTGAATGGCAGTCAGCTTCACTAGCCACTATCTCATCTGGGCAACTTGATAACACTAAAGTTCTTTTCTTGCGTGAATGGGAGAGCCTAATAAAATAAATAATAGTCGCATAGAAGCTCTAAAAGACCCTACGTAATAACAGAAAAAGAATTTTAAAAAAAGGGTAGAATTTGAAGCATTATCAGAAATGCGAATGTTTATATCACCTGAGGAGTTAAAGCGACAAACTGCATGTTTATGTTACGTTCCTTCCCTGCAACAGCTGACACCAATGTTATGCAGAATGTGATCAAATTGAAGGTCAGGATCATAAAACTATTCAGTTCAAAAGTAATGGGCACAGCATGCCATCTAGTGGTCTATGAAACTTTCCAGAACACTTGCACAAATGTGTGACAGCTGGGAACAGCAAATGGCCCTGGTGCATCACATCACACTTGCTGTGGCAGTCGCCATGGAAAAGCTATTACTGTTGACATTAACTTGCATTTTTGCATACCATAGTTAACCAGAAGTTGTTTTATGTTTTGTACGTGGCTAATCAGTACAATTCTGTTTTCATTTTGTTCATTGTTAATGCCAGAACACTACTGTATTTTACCTAAGTTCCCTCATTTAAAAATTTTTGCTGAAAATTTTCTTAATTGGTATCATTGAAGTTGCTTTGTAGCTTATAATTTATACTTTTTATATCTTTTTTAAATGCTTGAAGGGTTTCTGCCTCTGTCTGTCTCTCTTTTTTTTAAGGTGTATACAGTGGAGTGAAATTTATTATCTGTGAATGTTTGAATCACCTTTTCATTGGACCGCAGAAGTCTTTGCTTATGAGAAGAAATTTGAGTACCATATTCTCTCATTTATAAGCTGCACATTTATTGCAGAAATACAGAGGAAAACTGGAGTTGTTCATATGAGAAGAAATTCAAATACCATATTCTCTCATTTATAAGTTGAACTTTTATTATAGAAATGCAGAGGAAAATTAGAAATATGGCTTATACATGCAAGTGATTAGAAATAAGTATGTACAAACATATAGCAACACCGCACTGTGCATATTTAATGACCGAGTATAAAATCCATTCTTGTTGGTAGTATTATAATAGTTGTGGTTGTAGGTCATTCAAGGAAAATGTTTGTTAAACAGTTTAGTTATAATCCATATTTTAAACTGCAGCTAAGCATAGAAACATGTTTCTTATGAAGGATAATCAAAATTTTGTCTTTATGTATGGTAATCAACTGTTTTAATTTAAACTGCTTTCACACCTATGAAATGATAAAAATACAGTACATGGTAGACAGGCTATCCACAACATATCATCGAGAATTTTGTGTTTTAAATTAAGGGTGTGGCTTATACATGCAAGAAGATGGTATGTCGTAATTTATTACATGTCATTCTTTTGGGAATGGTAGTTTGTTTAGATGTTAACTCTTTTCATTTAAGCTGCTTTCATACCTCTGAAAATATTTTTTAAAAAAAAGTAAATGGTAAACAGGCTATCCACAACTTATCGAGGATTTTTTCTTTCTTAAATTAAGGGTGTAGCTTACTACACATGTAAGAAGATGGTATGTCAAGATTTGCTACACGTCATTCTTTAGCGAATGGTAGTCTAGCGCGTTTACACATATTGTGCAAAAGAAAGATTCATTTAATTTAAAGTTTTGCCTATTTACAGCATGCAGTGTTCAAAATTTCAGCTATATCTTTTTGATTTCAGAGACTAATGTACTAAGGACAGAACATACTCCGCCCAGATGAGCAATTGGTTCATAACATTAATATCAAACCTTTTAATTTAGATTTACACTAGTATATTAAATGTTTATCATGTAGAATAACAAGCACATAAACAACAAATTTAAACTCAGGTAATAGTACTATATTTAGCACAAGAAATTACAAATAATATATACTTACAATTCTCCAGAGTGCAAAAGAAATAGAAAAATTAATATGAAACTGCTAAATTACCATAATTCTGTAGTTAACCCATGCTCTAAATCTGAAACACAACACTGGATTAATAACAGTAAAGCTTCCCCACCCCCCCGAAAAAAAAAAAAGACGTAGTTTTAAAGTCTTAGTCAGTCAGTGGTAACAAGGAAAGTTTATATATAGGACGCTTCATTTCACCCGATAAAGTTTTTAGTTTCACAAAACGAACTCACTAGCCCTGAGTGTACTGCTTTCGTGGCAAAACATATGAACAGGCATACATACAACTTGATGGGCTTTACTCCTCTCCCCTTGTATGTACTGTAACCCATGCCTATATGTTTACATATATATATATATATATGAGGGAGTCGGAGTCATTAAAATTCCAGGAATTGGAGTCGGTCATTTTCCCTACCAACTCCACAGCCCTGCTTTGAAGGAATGCTGCATGACATGATGCATTAGAATAAGGAATGTGATTCTAATGTGTTTTTGGTTTCAGCACCCTGTCTTAGGTAATTGGTCTTATACTTGCCATTAAATTAGGCTTTTTTTTTGGGGGGGGTCCACATAAATGCAGATGAAGTGCAAATTTCTTGCACTCCATAACAACAATCTCCAATACCAGTGGTCAGTTGATAAATGAAGAAATACAAGCACCTCCACAACAGGGCTCACATTCACACTAATAAATAGTATGCTGAATGCACATGAAGGGGATTGTGTGCCTCTGTTAAAGAGATGAACCTTGTTTTGGCCTCAAAGCATGTCATGCTTTCAGTTTTGTAAACAAATATATATATGATAAAAAAGAGACAAAGACATAGCAGCAAATGTTGTTTGGTATAGAACATAGCTGCCGTATTGAAGAAAACAAATTCTGATCAGGGCTGTGGAGTTGGAATCTGAGTTAGGCAGATTTTGGGGTAAAAGGAGTTGAGCTGGAGTCTCTAAAAACATGTCGACTCCGACTCCAGTTTTTGTTGGACAGTTTGAATTTGAAATGAAATTAAAGTCAATTGAAAAAAAAAAAAAAATAATAATGACCGAGTTATTATTTTTATTTATGAACTATATAATACATTAATAATGGTGATACATTAATAAATGGTTATTTTCTATTTTATTGACATATTAATAAATAAATATAAGGGAGGAGGATGGATGCAATATGTGCCATTATTGATTAAACTGATTCATTTAGTTACAAATCTCATTTGGTAAATTAAGGTAAGCAGTAATAGCAGCACAAACTCCCAAAATTGATGCCATTCTTAGGAAGCGATCAGGAAAAGGAGCAATTATTGATTGTTGAGATATTTCTAATCGCATTCTTACTGGTTAAATAGAAGTATAGCTTTCTGTCATGTCCGATACATTCATTAGCTTTTGGTCAGGTCCGAATTATTCTGAAACTTAATCCCACTCTGTATGTTACTTTTGATTGGTTGTTTATTATGTCTTGTTTATAATTTGTTAAACCAGGATCTGTTGTAAAGTTACATATATGACCTCTGTAACCACTTATCCCTGCTTGTGCTTGTCTCTGCTTGCTTGTATTGCATTATAATTCTGTGTGTATCTCTGCATATCTTAGTAATAAATATTTGGTTTGCGAACCACAGCATTTTCTATGTTTAACATTGATCAAGCTGTATGATGAATAAATACACATTTGATGATATAGATGTTATTAGAATTAAGAACTTTTTTAGAAGAGGTAGATAACCCTAATGTTTCACTTGCAGAAAGATTGTGGAATGATCTTGCAGAATAGGAAACTCTTCTTTCTACACCATATATAGCAAAAAAAAAAAAAAAAAAAAAAAAAAAAAAAAATCTGAAGAATTAACAGGAGAAAACAGAAGGAAACATTTCTTCAATTAAGAAAAGAGAAACTAGTTTGCTAGACGATGAGATCATCTTGGGTTCAATATATGTAGATCTAAAACACCAAATTTTGTTGGATGATGAACAAATTAAGAAAGCCATGTGTGAACTTTCATTAAAAATGAAATTGTTCTCAGAACAATGGAAGTATTCAAATATCAGAACAGTCAAATTGCAGACATTACAACTGAGTCTCTGTCATCCTCTTCTAATGATGAATTAAATTTTGGGAAATATTTGGATAATATTGAAAAGGCTAAGACAAAACGAATGAAAATAAAGAACCAAGAGCCTTTAGATATAAAAATGCAAAAATACAAATAAGATTTCTACACGGCCTTTGGAGAAATAGAGAAATATGATTGCTCTTGCAAGACACCTCTTTTAGAACTTATAAAAATCTATCTTGAAAAGTTAAAAGAAGTAGCCCTAAAAGTAACAGCTCTTCTTCTTACTCAAGTCAATGTGGAAAGACTCTTCTCAGCTCTGAAGTTTATCAAATCGGTTCTATGGTCCTCTAACAAAGGAAATCATATGTTTATTAGTCTATTCTAGTCTGCTAAGATGCTGAAGCTATAATGTTTCTTAGAAATTACTAATGCCAGTTTTTTCATTTCCTAATAAATGCTAATTAATATAAATAATTTGCTATGCCATGAATTTTTTTCCCTGTAACAACTACTACTTTTATATTAAAAATAAGCTGTAACCCATGTGTGTATGTTTACATATACAGTACAAAGTACGTAATCTGGACTCGTCGTGACTTCGGCGATTCCAGATTAGGGGTTTTTCCGGATTATAGATCATCAATTTAAATCTGGTAAGATGGCATGCAGAAAATATGCAGTTAAAAATATGAAATCATAATTTTTGAAATAAAGAACAATTATGATCTAAAGAGTATCAAAATTTACAAAAAAAAAAAAAAAAAAAAAAAAAAAAAAAAAAAAAAGAGAAGAGCTTAATATTTATTGTTTACTTTATTAAACATTTCTTTCATGTAAGTTATTTAAGATGCTTCACAAAAAAGTTCCTTTTCTTGTGTCATATATAATGGAATCTCCAATGCAACTTCTCGCTTATTTTGAGACGGATATGCCTTTATCCATTTTTTGCAGCAATTCCAGTTTTTGTTAATGGACATGGACTGCTTCTTTTTGTAGATCCTTTGGTAGCTCCAGAATTGGAAACTCTTTTTGACATAATCTAAAGTTCAAGCTTAATTTTTATAAAATTGTTCTAACAGTCTGCATAAAATAATAAGCTGGATCCAATTAGAAGATTAAGGAAGAGCGCAATCTGCAACGTTAATTGAAATGCCTTAGATAATTTTAGCATAGCTTATACCGTCCGTTATACATTAAATGTGTGTGCGTAAATGCGTTGTGCATTTATGCATGTGCATAAAGTTTGTAGCTTTGCGGTACGGATTATGGACGTCCGGATTACAGACTTTGTACTGTATATGGAGTCGGAGTCCGTCATTTTCCCAACCAACTCCGCAGCCCTGATTCTGATTGTGTAGAATGCTAATCTATAATGAACAGGAACCTTTGTAAGGCAGATAAATTTCCATTTTTATTTAAATTCACATAATTGGCCACAATTCACTGGGCACTTTAATCGTGCCTATTTCCAGAATATTGACATTTTTTAATGCTGTTACGATAGGAAGACTCCACAGCGAAATGAAATGGCTTCCAAGCAGCAACAGAGATACAAAGGAAGTGTGCATTTATCCAGTATGGTAACCCACCAAAAAGGAAGGTTTTGGTTTATGTTAGAAAGGTTTCATTGTTTAGTTTCCGAAATAGCTGTGTCATCAACATTAGATGGATGTTACCTACAATCCAAAACTTTCTGTAAACTATAATAGCAAATAAAGTAATTGCTACCAGAAGATGGAGAAACAATTGTGAATATAAAAATTCATTATTCTTGTTTATCTGTTAAGTTATGCTGTGTGGAGAAATTTTCAAAGAAAACTAGGCCCTTATTTATTCGTGTTATAAGAGAAAACTGGAAAAAAAAGAGTGAGGCTATTTTGAAGGTAGCAATATATTTTCATTATGAAATAAATTTTAAGCTCTACTCATTTAAAAGCATGAATTAATTCTTAAAATAAGTATACTGATCCTTCCCTCCCAAGAGTGAGGGTTTTCATTTATATTTTTTATACTACTTCATGTATAAAGATAGTAATTTGTAGGAAATTTTTATGGTTACATTAAATTAAATTCTGTTTTTACTTTTTGTTCTTGTATTAATTGACAACGAATTATTATAAGATAAAAACCCGGGGGGGGGGGATTGACTTTTCTTGATGTCAACTGAAGTTATAACCTTAGCTTTATTTCATAAGCAAAAGTAAAATAAAACCTTTAATCTATTCCAATGATAAAGATTTCAGTATTATCACTGAATAGAACATGCTTCTTTTAAAAAAACTAACATAGTGATGACCTAGAGCAACTATTGTATAGTAATTATGCTGAAAAAATTTACTTATTAAATAAAGGTTTTAAAATTGTCCTCACTAATATTAATAATACTTGTCCTCACTAATATTAATAATAATTATTTTGATGTCAGAAGTTCACTAAATTTAAGCTGATGATTTAAACTTGTGAAACATATTAATTTTAATAAATTTATATTCATGTTGCTTGTTTTGTATCTTTTTAATACATAAATATTTCATCTCATCTTCCAACTAGTTGTTATGTAGTTCATATCAAATTAGATTAATATTTTTCTTTCTGCAGGCAAAATGTCTTCTCAGGCATCCACCAGCAGATGAAATATATCGTAAAGGAGACATCAGCATTTTTGAAGTTGATGGTGTAACAAATAAGACTTACTGTCAAAATTTGTGCTTATTGGCAAAATTGTTTTTAGATCAGAAAACAATGTTTTATGATGTAGAATCTTTTTTATTCTATATTTTAACCAAGAATGACCAAAAGGGATGCCATTTGGTTGGTTATTTTTCTAAGGTAAGTATTTTTACTTTATGTCTGTATTTTCTTGTTATAGTTTTCTGTGGTTAGTATAATATTGAAACTTAATAAAAATTGAGGTCTTACTTATTAGCCTGTTAACAGCAAAAGTTGGCGGAGATATCGTCAAAGTTGCACCAGTCATTCTTGTGAAGTTCTGAAGGAACTGAAGCCTCTTTATTAAATAAACAGTCAATATTTGTCTGACTTCTTTTTTATGCTTTATAAAAGATATTTCATTGATTTCTACTGTTGTTAACCTTTCTAATTTTACCAAAAGTTCTGTTTAGAATGCTACGAGTACAAACTTCCCACTATTAATTTTTCCAGTCTATTTTAATGTTAGGATTCCCATGACTTCAAAAATAATTCAAATGCTTTCTGTTATGTAAAACGCAGGTCATTCCCCCAAAATGCAAGTAAAAATCATACAGCAGTGGATTGATATCCTTTTTCATAAAAACAAGATGTAGCTTATAGAGAATCAATGAGGGTTTCATCAAATGAAAGCACAGATATTATAAGTTTTTGTTGTAAAACATTTTTGTAGCCTCGTTATTTCATAACAAAATTAACAAACATAGAGAGCAAAATGATTCCTCTTACCTTGTATCCAGTGTAGCATCAGGGTAGTCATAGTCAATTTACACTTTTAATCCAAAAAAGATGTTGTAGACAGAAATTGAAAGATCACAAACACATTTTATTAATACATGAAAATAGATTAAGATTTGTTAGCATTCCAAATACATATCGAACAAGAGTTTTATCATAGAGAGTGTCATATCACTGTCCTTTCCTGAAGGAGTGAGCAAAAGAAAAAGCGACTTGCACAATTAAATCCTTTGCTGGGTATCCAGATTACACTGTTTATCGCGCTATTGGTGATAGTCCATCACTGTTTGCATACCAACAGTTTGTTGTTATACCATGCTGATGCTTAATAGTGCTGAACTGGATAATATGCGAGTACCAAAAATTGTTTGTTTTGTACTTTTAGGAGAATTTTGAAAAATAATAAGTAACAATAAGATTATTATTAAAAATCTTTATTATTTGCTAAGTAAAATTAATAATGATACTTTTAATTTTTAGGAAAGATTTCGTCAACAAAGGTATAATGTCTCATGCATTTTGGTGATGCCTCAGTATCAATGCAAAGGCTACGGCCGTTTCCTAATTGATTTTAGTAAGTATTGTCTTTTTGGCTGGTTTTAGTGATTTTTAATTTCAGTCTGTGTTATCTTTATTGTTTGATCAGTTTTAGTTTTCTGTTTCAGTATTTTTCATATGAATCAGTATAATTTTTTTGTTCATTGATGCTAAATTGTAATTTTATTTACGAGCCGTATTTGTGAAATAACGAAGACTATGTGTCCTTTTTTGTATTATTGTGATACAGTTTAATTGCATATTTATTTAAATTTTGTGGTTTATATTTGCCATAAAAACTTGCTGTAATTTAACATTGCTAGGGCATAACATATAAAACTTGCCGCATTTCAAAGAGAAGATGGTGTTTTGATATTTCTCTATTTTGCGGTAGTAAAAAAATGCAGTGATTTTTCACTCAATATATCCTATTATTATAGCAAAGAAAGAAATTAGTTAAAAAAATATATTCCTTTTGGATGTTAGTATTTTGTTCTTTATTATAAAAAAAATATTTTGTATGTGATAATTTTGTACATTTTTTAATGGCTTTGCTGGTTTCTTGAACGATAAAACATTTTGAAACTTTACTGATATAATTTATATTCTGAAAATAAATTATACTAAAGACTCATGTTTCATTTTTGAAAATGACTTATTTCTTTTTCCATCATATATACTGGCTTCCAAAAGTTAATCATGAAATGCAAATTAGCTATATTTAAAAGCGCAGTTGAAAGATCACAAAATTGAATGACTGAAAATCATTGTGGATGCAAATGGAAAGTATGCAAATCTTTATAATGTTAGGGCTAGTCATTGTCAATTGTTCAAGCATATGATAATTAGGCAATCATTAAAAATGCTAGCATTCTGAAGGTTTTGAGGAGTTCAATTTAAATGCTGATACAAAAACATATACTGCTGTCATCGAATAATTTTTTATGCTTTAATGTTTGTGTGGCTGAAAGAATACAATTGGCAGATAATAGGTGCTAGCAAAAGCAGGACAGTTAATCAAAGATGTTGCTGTCTTTTTTGGGATTGATTCTTTAGTAATTTCTTGAATATGAAAACAATTTCAACAAGTCAATTGGTTGTTTAGAAACCTGTGCCTGGTTGACAAAGGTTTACCATCCTTAGTAAAGATCAATTATATTCCTACAGAAGCCAAGCAGAATTGATGAGTGCTGTTACATCTATGGTTTTTCAGCATCATTAGGCAAGACAGTGTTTATGAATGCTGTGCACCAAAAGCTTCACATGAAGAATTTGTATTCCTGAGAATGAAGTATTTGCGTTTCACTAACTGCTTAATCTAGAGCGACAAGATTAAAATGGCGTTGTTAACATCTCTTTGGACCGTATCAAATTGGTTCAAAGTCCTGTTAATGGACAAATTCAAATTTGCCCAGAAATCAGATGCTAATCAATAAGGTGTATAAAGAGAACAAAGGTGAAAAGACTCAGGCTGAAAAAATTCAGATAAAATTCTGATAAATTCAGATTTATTAAAAATTCAGATATTCAGAAATGGCTGTGCATGTAGCTTCATATCTTTAAAGATGGTTTTGTGATGTCTACTCGGTATCAGGATGAAGGTCTATATCCCATTGTGAAGCTCATTTTATCTCTATGAATGAATATGCTCATGTCGTTAAGAGAGTTGAGGGCATTTCTCTTAACCTCAACTCTCGTTAAGAGAGTGGCTGCCATGTCCCTTTGATCTTAATCCCATTGAAGATATTTGGAATGCCCTCAGATGTGCTATCTCTGAACATTTACTTCCTCAGATTCATAATGCACATTTGTTGCCTTATCTTTGTAAATCTTATCTCTAAATAAAGCTTTGATAAACTTATTTTTGCTAATTTTATTTATCAAAGCTTTATTTTTTCCATTTTTACCATTGCATGCTTAACTTTTGGAAGCTAATGTATGTGATGAAGCAAAGATATGAGTATTAACTGAATTATTATGTTGAATAAAATTTAATTGCATTTAAATGAAGTAATACTGATATCAGTATCCAGCCTTTACAAAGTAAATAAATTATATTTGAATTGGCTTTGAAATTTTATTTAAGGAGTTTAAAATATGTACAGGGTATATCAGTACAATGGTGATACTTTCAGAAGAGACAAGAGTACATCTAGATGATGGGAAATCTCATAGCAATGCATGGTCGAAAATGCTTTCCTGTCGCGGTAGTGATGACACAAAACGCAAAAAAGGAAGGACACAAACAGTGAGACAAAACTTATTTTATTATGTTTAGTACAGCAGAAACTTCAAATAAGAACAAAAAGAACAATCGGCATTAAAGAAGGTTTTCGAAATTATAATGCAGGTCCTACTTCTCTGGTGCATGGAAGATCTGCATCACAAATGGAAGATGGATGACGGACGGTTTCTGCATCACAGTCCTGGTCGTGATTTCGAACATCTTCTTTAAGGATGATTGTTGTCTCTTTATTTTGTTTTTGTTGCACTCTGAATAATAAACATGTTTTCTCACTCTGTTTGTGTACTTTCTTTCTTGACTTTTATGTCGTCACTACCATGCCATGAAAGCATTTCTGATCGTGCATTTCTATGCGATTCCCATTGTCTAGGTGTACTCTATCTCTCCTGAAAGTTTGTCACCACTGTACTGATAAACCCTGTATTGTTATTTTATAAAGAAAATTACACATAGGTTTATTAAAATATTTAATTATTATTATTAAATTACACATAGGTTTGTTAAATTATACATAGGTCCCTCAGCATAAAAAAGTTGATATGATGTGCAATTTTTGGAAATAAAGTGCTTCATGTTTTTGTATATTATATGTACTGTTTGACTGAGCCTGATATAAGCAGATTGATTATTCATTAGGGAAGCTTCATTTCTGGCAATTGAACTAAAAATTTGTGATGTTAAAACTCGTATTATATTATTATTATAAACGTTATTGCTGTAATTTTTGCAGACTTCACCCTTCCTTCCCCATTTGAAAAAGTATCTAAATAATTTATGTTTTTTCCCTTGACGTGATAACATAACGTACAATAAGTGTATTTCTAACTCAGTAATATATGTACTTATCAAAAAAATATTTTTAAAATTATTATTTCATACTTTTCATTTTTTGTAAGTTTTTAGAGTGAACTAAATACAACTTTACTTTTATTTCTTTACATTCAAAGGTTACCTCCTGTCAAGGAAGGAAGGAAGGTGTGGTACTCCAGAAAAACCTCTTTCTGAGCTTGGAAATATATGCTATACATCTTACTGGGAATCTACTGTCATAGAGCATTTACTAAAAGTTGATAGAAGAAAGAAAATAACCGTTAAAAGCATGTATTCCCTTTATTGGATATACTAGATGCTGAGATTATTAAAAATTTAAAGTGTTATTTGACTTATGCTATGTTTATTTTCTCATTTTAGAATTCTTAATTATTAATATCAGTATTTCAGCTGATCTTAAAATAAATATGAGCCCATCAATTAGTGAGTGGATAAAATTTTTTAATTTCGATAGTTTGACCTAGATTCAAATAAATGCAAACAGGCTGGCAGTCTGATTATTTTCATGGTTTTTTCAATATGTAACAGTAGTGCAAGCTAGTATGTCATTTACAAAGGCTTTCCTGTTATTAGGAAAATAATTGTAATGTGCTTTGCCCTAATTAAATAATTATATACACCCACACACCATGTCCAGAAACAATTCTTCTCAGCATGTATTTATCTTTATCTTTCAAATTCCATTAATCTTTAATGAATCAAGTGATTTGAAAGTAATAAATGCACTTCTAATAATTTAAATTTAAATTTTTAAAATATTTATATAGCATGTATATAATTGTTTCAAAAGAATAAATTGAATTTAAATAAAAATTAAATTATTAATTTTAACAAAATTTATATACAAAAAAAGAAAATTTAAAGTTAAAATAATAAAAAATGTAAAACATAAAAGATTTAATTTTCGAACTAATCTACAATATCATTTAAATCAGATAGCAGACCGAATATACATCACTGAAAAGGAGCTAGACAAATTTATCTAAACCAAAAAGAACTAAAAGAACTAATTCCTTTATAAAAACAAATTAAATATACTAAAAAAATAATTACATATTAGACAATTAATAAATATTATACTTAAAAATATAATTACATATCTAGAAATACTTAAATACTACATAAAAAATACTTAAATAGTAAGTTTTAATTACTTACCTACATATTAGCGTGGGTCTGCAAAAGTATTCCCTAAGTGATGTAAGTGTGTTCTGCAAATTATAGATGGCGCTATGTAGTAAGTTGAGTGCCATCTGTTTTGTTAAAAAAAATTTTTAATTGTAAACTTTAATTTAAAATTTAAATAAATAATAGAAAAACTCAAGGAATATCCTAAAAGTATTTCTTAAATTTTAATTTTAAACTGAGCAACTAAATGGTAGGGGTTTAGTAGCTGAGCCATCAAGAGATGTAAGTTGCTCTGCAAATATCATAAAAAGAGGCAATTGAAGTAAAGTAGAGTTAAGTGATTATCGTGAATTAATAAATGTAAACTAGTTTGTAATGTTAAATGTGTGTTGCAAAATTGTGTAAATAATGCAAATAACGTAAGTAAAAAATTTTTTAGTGAAATTGCAAATTAAAAAGTAATATTTAAAAGTAATTAAGTAAAACTAAAATGTTTAAAGTTTTTAAAAAATTTAATTTAAAAAATGTCTTAAAAAATTCCCCCAATTTTTTCAAGTAAAATTTAAATTTTGAAATGAATTCCTTAAAAAATTTTATTTAATAAATTGAATTACTTAAAATTTTTTTAATATATTAAAAGAAAGTGTAAGTTAAAAAAGAAAATTCCCAGAAATTTCCTTGAAATTTTTCATAAATCTCCTAGAAATTTCCCAAAAATTCCTTAAAAAATGTTGATTAAAATTTACAGAAAGAAAATATTGAAAGTTTTAATAAACTTGATTCCAAATGGTATATCAAAACTTTACTAAAACTGGTTAAAGTCTGGAAATTATAGAAGATTAAAATCTTCCTCAATTCAGGCTATAATTGAGACTTTTGAAAAGTTGGCCCTTTATGTAAAAGGAAGACCAGTATTGATAAATCTAATATTTACAAATTTTTTACATAAAAATTACAGATAATCCTTAAATCCTCCATACCTCCAGCTAAGGTGTAAGAACGTTTAAATACCATAAAAGCCAAAAAATTATAAAGTAAAGTTAATGCCGCCTTTAATTATATTAATAATTTTGAATCTTGAATAGAGAATGAGAATATATTCACAGTAAATTGCTATTAAAATTACTCCTTCGCTCTTTCTTGAATTCTTCTATACTTTGTTTCCAAGCCATAAAGGTAGAATTTGGAATATTTAATTTGTAACTAGTTTTAACTATAATTCGTCTAGATTTTTACGAGACTTTTAAAAATGTGATGCTTGTTAAGTTTTAGTACTGGTCTAAATGTGGACTTTTTCCATTAAATTCTTAAAGTGTTTGAACTATGGCTAAATTGCCTGTAATAATATGTTGCCTGTATAATTTTATCTTTGTATTGAACTCTTGCAGTTCATGGGTGTATAGCAATTCATGGTGGTTAATTAGCAATTTATAAAGAGGTATTTGATACTTGAAAGCTGGTGAGATATGTACTTTAGCAGTTGGAAAAAGTTGTTGACTTTTTCTGAAATTTGCTAAACTGAATATGATCATAGTTTGGATGAAGGAAATTGATTGTGCAGTAATATTTATTGTATTTGTTATTTGTAGAGAATTTATAATTGCAAAAGTCAATAATAAGGTCTTTGATAATGTATAGAGCATATAAGTATCCTAATATGAGTGTAACGATCAGCCCCCCCCCCAAAAAAAAATATCTTGGTTAGAGATCAGGCTAAAAGCTAATGTAGAGATCAGGCCAAATAACAAGCCTGCTTTTGTAACTTTTATTTTTTCTTATGAAAATCCCAAAATGTGAATATTTGCATTAATTTAAAACATTTTTGTAATTGTAAAAGTATGTCCAAGGTCAACGGTTGTGAAAATAAAGGCCAGATAAAGACTGGTGGATATGGTATGTAGCATAAGTAGTATTTGAATATTATATAAGTAGAGGTATACGTGGGCAGGGCACCATAATTTCATTGTTAGTTGTACATGTATAGTTCCTCTGCACTTACTGTGCAGTTCCGCCCCAATTTTGAGGAAGGACACCTAAAGGAATAATCTGGTGGTTTTCTCACCAACCTCTCGAGAGGACTTTCAGCTGCCGCATATTTAGAATGCCCCCATGCTGAACAGATGCTGTATACTCACAAACATCCATTCCTTCCTTGGGACTCGAACCCAGGCCCAAGCATATTGTATACTGGTACTTTTATAAATCTAATAGCAAATTTATTCCATTTATAATTTTTGTAATGGTAAGAATCCTGAACAGAAACTGCAGAGCTGCAAATAGTGAATACTGAAAGTCAGCTTTTTTAGGTGTTTTAAATGAATTACAATTTTACATTGGGGAAATGTGAATGTTTAATAGTTGCACTACTATCTAAATGCAAACTGGAAATTCCATCTTGTATTCTTAAATGGTTAGCTGCTTATATGTGTAATAAACTGAAATGATAATCCAAGTGGAAGTATGGTCTTGATGGTGTATCATGTAATGAAACTTTTACTTAGCACCCAAAGAAAAGTTTTCATTTAGATTTTTGTCTAATAGTCAAGAATAACAGCATCTTTTCCATTTTGAATTATTTTGCATGCAAATATAAATAATATTTTCATTTTAAAGAAGGTTAATTTTTGTTTATAAATTTTTATTTTAGGTATATGTAAAGCTACTGGTATGACATTTTTTGATGTCGTGTCAACCTTATCATCCCTTAACATGCTCAAAAGAAGTGAAACTGGGAAGTAAGTATTAATGAGATAAACTTATTGGCATTTAAAACATCATTAGCAGAGCCTTCCAAAGTATTTGTACCATTATGCTACAATATATTGTGATCTGTGTTATCGTGGCAGTTGCTGCCATTCCATGAAACAATTTCACGTTTTCACAGATAGCCAGTTCTTAAATGGTATTGCCACTTGGCATAGGCCAAGATCTTTAATTTATCTTTTATATTTGTTTACTCTTAACAAATCAAATGATCTAAAAACGATAAATTGATTTTGTAATAATTTTAATGTTAATTTTAGTTTTATTTATATATATAGAGAGAGAGAGATAGCAGATGTAATTGATAATATATTTCCTCTTGGTGATAATGTACATTTGAAGCATTATTATGATCAATAGAAGGCTTTTCTAATGCATATATTATGTACTTCTGTACATAATTCTTAGCTATCTTCCTATTTAAATATTAATTTTTAAATTTTAAGTAGTTATTTGAAACATAAATTTATAAACAGTAGAATCTACTTGTTACAATATTAATTTGTAGTTAAGCCTGTTTCTGTAATTGCACTGGCATTCTTGCATGATCATCATGTGTAAACAAACATAGCTTGTTTTCTCAAGTGCCCATTCCAAGGCAGGTAACCTTCTCTATGCTTCACCATCTTCATATACTATATATTTTAGTTCTGTAAAATAATCAATGAGCCTCCTAATTCTGCTTTTTATATATTTAAGATATATTGTTCTTATATTGCTTAGAATTAAAATATATGCACCTTTTTTTATGCATGAAGTTAAGCAAAAAATGCCTTTTCTTAGAGCCATCATTATATTTAACATCAAGATGTATGTATTTATTACTTCACAGTTTAGTACTTTTGTATTTCTTAGAATGCAATGTGTATCAAATAATACAGAATTTGAGCTTGAAATTAAAATATTTGTGTAAGTCAGAAGTAAATGGAGTCAAGTTAGAATATTTAGCAATGATTTATTTTGTTGGAATGCTGTTTACATTCCTGCTAGCATGGCTGTTGAAAAATGTTTATTTGTAGACTCACTGAAATAATCTCAGAGTCTCTGCAGAATTAAAAACAAAAAAGGCAGGGCCTATACATTAGAAAATAATTCTCAATACTAAATATACATTCAGTCAATCTAAAAATGAGACATTTTTCTTTTCTTTTCCCCCCCTGTATTTTGAGTAGAAAGGCTAAATCAGTGTAATATAGGTCATTTGATAGCCTGTGGGAATGAGCATTAATCAGCATAGTGAAAATAATTCAGTAATATAAAGTGTGATATGGAAATAAACTATGTCTCATATTAAAGATGACGTAGATCAGTGTTATTGTGTGTATGTATATATGTTATTTAATTTTTTATTATCATAGATATGTGATGCTAAGAAATGTGATTTGGTCATGACAAGCTATAAACCTTGTTGCAAACATAACTCACTAGTGGCTGTGACTTAGTTTTATTATTTTAATTTAAATAAATTTTAAACAGTATTTTTCATGGAGAATTTTCAGAGAAATTAGTGAGTCTAATGATTTTTCTGGTTGATGCTTCTGATTGTGAATCACTGATACTTTATTCAACTAGTTTGTTATAAAGCCTTAAGTACTCCTTCTTTTGCTTCTATCTTGACATTGATTTATGTTTCTTCAGTATGTCTTACTGTAATTTGAATCTTTCATCTTTTGATGTAATTAGGTTGCTGCTTTCGAACTCATCCTCTGAAGATCTTTTGTTCTTTTGATTTTGCTTAAATTGATTAATACTGCTTCTTTGCTTGCATTTTATTTACAAGTTAATGTGTTATACCAATGTAAAGGATCAGGTTTGAGCTCTTTAGTCATTGGACTCGACTTGCTTTAGCAGCAGCATAATTCTTTTGAAGAAAAATAGCTAAAACAGAGACGTATCCAGCTTTTTATTTATTTATATTAATTAATTCATTCATTTTTTAGTTGCCAGTACTTTCTAAACTTATTGCGACTAATATCTATATTTGTTATTCATTTAAGAAACTATTCCGGTGTTAATAAAGCAGAAAATTACATTTCTAGTTTTAACCCATCACACCAAATGTTACGAATGTAACATTTTTGTCAAACTGCTGAAACGTTGGCCTAGATGGATCATTTTAAAAATTTGCATCATCATAATTCCAGCTGTTTTGTTGCAGAGACTGAAAAGAGGTCGTCACATATGTGGCTTTCATATGTTAGGTCCTAAACTAGGAATAGATCTATGGTTAAATCTCCTTGGTTTTAAGTCCAGTTCCGGCTTTTTCAAATTGATTCGATTGCAAGTATAAAAGCTGTTTAACCTATAGTGACCACACATATTATTTTCACAAGTCACTTGATATCAAATTCAACAGTTATGTTTAATACCTCTGTTCAGAGCAGGGGCCTTTTTAGCTATAATTTTCAATGCATTTAAACATAATATTTTCAGTTTGATGATAAACTACAAGCTGGAGTAAGGTTCATTTTGAAATCATGGACTACACTATTTTTACCATAGAATTATATGAAAAAATATATATATGCAGGTTATACTTTGTGGCAGTTTCATGAATTTTTTTTATCTTTCTGTGTTTTGGCAACTACTGCTATAGCCTTTGTATCTGGCTTCTTTTTATTATTATGTTTTAAGGAATGAGACATAGTGGATGTACTTCATTTGGTATCTCACTATGTTATTCAATCAAACTATAGTGTACAAATAGTATCTCCTTTTTCCTGAAAAGTAAAAACAAACTGCCATTTTATATTGCCAATGAAATTAAACAGATTTTTTTTTTAACATAGTATATGCGCATAACACAAGTCTAGCTTTTGAGGTGTTTTTTTCCCCTCACTGATTCACAAATTAAGCTGATACATTAAAAAAAAAGGCATAGTTTAATCACATTTGTATGCTACAATACATTTTTAATATGATTTTAAACTGTTGCATTTTTAGGGAATTACAAAATGGTACTTAACATGCAACCTATGGTGCCATCACTGTTCTGTTAGAACAAATTTGAAAGAACAAGTCTTGGTCAGTTTTTAATGCCCTAAAATTCTGACCTCAAAGTAAGTGACTGCATTTAGCAATAAAAGATTTAAGCCAAATTTGAATGACAAGGAATGTTAGAGTTCGAAACAAGAAGCTCAACCTAACAGATGAATATTAAAAGCACTTTATGGTGATTTTCTAACTTTGGATTAACCAAGAGTAAGTGAACACGTTTTAGTAAGTTAGGTTCCTCTGATTATTGTTACAAGGCTGTCTTAGGCTGACTGATTCATGAAATTTAGTTGTTTTGACAGAGATATGAGTATTATTACAAAAGAAAATATTGTTCTTTCATAAGTTAAGATTAAATTAAAAAATAAATATGTAGAGTCATGGTTGATATCATCCACACCCTTTTAGTTTGGGCACCACTTGTAGAGTCATTAGGATTTTTTACAAGCAAGCAAGATGAAAAATTAGCAACAACCTTCGCCGTGAATCGAACCACAGACCTCTAGAATACCGGCCCAGCATGCAGAACCATTACACCACGAAGGCACGTTAGGGAAGTGGGAGAAATACCTTATAAATAAAGTTTTTATAAAATAAACTTTTATTTAAAATTCATAAAGTAATTAATGAACTAAAACTAGAAAGATAATTTATAAAATAATTTAATGGGAATGAGATTATATAATTCTCTTTATTAAAAGCCATCTACAATTTTATGTCATGAATAAGCATGGGTTGCTCTTGATAAATTAATGATGCTAATGTTTTATACTTTTTACAATGCAATTTGATTATAAGATTTTATTATTTAATCGCCCTCACTTATATTATTCCCAATATAAAATTATAGATAAATTTTGTGGAGAATTATTTAATCTCATGTTCCCATTAAATTATATAATATTTTTTTGCTTTTAAATCAATTATTATTTTATGAGTTTTAAATTAAAGCTATTTTTTAAAAAATTGTTTTGATCTTTTTAGTCATAACTTATTATCAAATTATTCAGTTGAAAAATCATTTTTCATTCATGAATAATCACTTTTTACTTCTTACGGTTCTGTTACTCCAAATCATTAAAAAGAAAAAGAGGGGGGGAAAAAAAAAAACAGCTATTTTGGAAAAAAATCAGAGTATGTTAAAATCTCATATCAGCATCATTTAACATCTTAAGTGCTACATGACCCACCAGTGGACCATGGTAGTTTTGTTTTTGGGGCCTTGTGATCCACCATTGGGTCATAGCAAAGTTCTTGTTGTGGCCGTATGTACCACTGGTGTTTGACCTGTTCTGAAATTTTGAAAGTATTTATTTTATTTTCCTGCAAAATGGTGTTAAAAATATACGAATATGTGCTGAAGTGTTCTGGAAAGCACAAAATATTGTTCAAAAGTAAATAAAATTGGTAGAAAATAGCATGTTGCATCCTGTACATAATAAATAACCTGCAGTTATTTTTTTCTCAAACTTGTACTTAAGTTTGAGATTTGGAATGATCTAGTACAAATGTTAAATATATATTTTGATAGAAATATGATGTAAAGCTCTGATCAGAACCCAAATTATATGTGAAGATACATGAGTACAAACCATGTTATACAAGATGCTCGTAATTGAATGTCTAGCATATACATTAGCCTATACATGAATCAAATAATAAAAATTCCAGTTTTGAAAATAAGAGTTAATTATTTTCTGATAATGTTCTAAGTAATATTTCCTTTTTCTTTGAGAATTGATGATTGAAAAATATAGTACTATAATATTTTGTTGCACATTAAACATAAGATATTGAACTTTTTTTTGAATTTTTTACACCAATAAAATTACTGTGGCCCACTCATCCAATGTACTCTTATGCAGGTCAGCAGTCATTATGTTAAAAAAAAATTTTTTTTGGCCCTATCCTATTTGCAAACAGTAAAATTCTGAGATTTTTAGTTTATGTGTTAAACAAAGGTATGTGTAAAATATTATTTCATCATTAAATTAAAAAAAAAATTGCTTTATCTATTGTGTTGCCTTCATTAACCCCTTCGTGCCAACTGTCACGTCTACGTGCCAGCAACGAACATACTCACTTCCCGGCCGACACGCAGGCGTGCCAGAGGGTTTCCCAGTTCAGCCCCGACTGTCACGTATTTGTGCCAGTGTCCTGGAAAGTTTTAAAAACTATAATTTCTGCCACAAGATAGCGTTGTATGTCCATATGGTTTTAGATACATGTACATTAGACCTTCTACTCGAAATGAGAGAAGCATGACTCACATACACGCGTTTTTGATTATATAAACAAAAGGGGAAATAAATGTTTCCGAATGGCGTGATTTATGACTTCTCTTTAAATTCGCACGTGGTAGTTGTTTATTGTAAGTAGAGAAGTTTTATTTTCGCTAAAGCGTTGGGTATTTCGGTTTGCAGTTCAGTTCTTAGAAAATAATTAGATCTTGTTAGACAATTCTTTCTGTTTTTACCGTTGCAATGTCGAAGCGTCGAAAATGTTTAACAGAGCATGAAATAGCAGAAATGATGCAAAATATTTCAGATATTGATTCTGAAATTCTGATATTGATTCTGAAAGATTAACTGAAAGACATTTTCATAAACTTTGTTCAGAAGAGACTGATAAGAAAATGAGACAACGATGCTTTGTTTGTTCACATTCCCCAAAAAATCCTCCAAAACGGTAAATGAGTTAATACGAGTGCAAGGAATGTAACGTAGGACTGTGTGTAGATCCCTGTTTTCAAATTTTTCATACGAAAAGAGAATTTTAAGTAATATATTTAGTTTTTCAGATGTATAATGTTAAAAGTCATAAAATGGTGAGTAATGAAAGTAAAGTGTGTAAAATATGCATTTAAACTAGAAATAAGGTAATTAAAGTATATATAAAAATATCTATAAAGCATAAGCCGTTTAAATACTCTATAGAGCATTATTAAACACTGCGTTGATACTTCAGAAATTTCATGGATTTAGGCCTAATAGCAAAAAAGCCCCCGGCCCTGGACAGACGCTCGCGTAAGACACTGCCGGCCTCAGCGGTAAGCGCGCGTTTGCGCTACCCGGCGCGAAGGGTTTAAGAATCTATAAAGTAGTTTATTAATATTTTTTAATCTATCTATAAAGAAACAGTATTAATAAAATAGCAGAAGGCTTTTATAGTAAACTTAATTTCTTTACAAGTCATTCTTTCTAGCAAGTGGATGGAGATTAAATAAGTTAAACAAAATCAGTATTAGTATATCAGTACATGAAAGCAAAGGAAAGTTTGTGGTATGTAATGACATCATAATTTCAAAACTCTAAGTGAATCTTGTGACACAAAACAAAACAAAAAAAAAAACTACAATCCAGTTTTCCCTTCTGCTTTAAAATCTGCAGTATTTGGTTTTTTTCAGGGGTAGGTATAGAAAGTAACTCAACATATTTTGTCATTCTTGTTTAAATAAAGTAGAACAAAGAGCATGCTTTTATAATACTGTGAAAATTCCAAAACTTTCTAGCATATATATTTTTATATATTGAAATTTTAAAATCAGTCCATGAGATAGATAAAAAAAGCAATTTACAAAAATTTGCCAAAAAATCAGAAATTATATTAAAAATTTTATTCAAAAGATTTTTTTCACTATCCAATGGTTCAGTTAAGAAATCAGAAATTATATTACAAAATTCGTTTAAAAGATTTTTTTCCACTCTGTCTAGTGGCACAAACAGTAAAATTCGGAGATAGGAGATGTGTATGAAATATCATTTCAACATTAAATTATTATATACAGTCAAAAGTCGTTAATCCGGACTCGTCGGGACTTCAGCGATTCCGGATTATAGATCATCAGTTTAAATATCTTAAGATGGCATGCAGAAATTTTAAAATTAAAAATATGAAACCGTAATTTATGAAATAAAGAACAATTATGATCTAAAGGGTATCAAAATTTACAAAAAAAAAAAGCTTATATTTATTTTTGTTTACTTTATTAAACATTTCTTTTAATGTAAGTTGCTTCGTTTTATGTGATAATACTTTCTCTTTAATTCTATAAACAGACATAATTTCTTGTTCAGTTACAAAGTTCCGCTGTTCAAGTCCCGTAATTGCTGTGCCGAGAATACCGACTAACTTGTCAATCGAAATTTTTTCGTTTTCACTAACCCCTCTGTCATCTTCTTCATGTCTTTATCCATTTTTTGCAGCAATTCTACTTTTTGTTTGATGGACATCGAAACATACTTTCGTTTTGTAGATCCTTTGGCAGCTCCAGCATCGGAAATTCTATTTGACATAATCGAAAGTTCAAGTTTACTTTTATAAAATTGCTCTTACAGTCCGCAAAAAATAATAAGCCGCATCCAATTCGAAGATTAAGGAACAACGCAATCATCAACATTAACTGAAATAGATAGTTTTAACTTAAACCGTCCGTTATACATGAAACGCGCACGCGAAAACGTATTGTGCACTTGCGCACATGCATATGCGCAGTCATAAATGTTTTACGCGCACGCGTAAACGCCTATACGCATGTGTCAACGCGGTGCATGCGCATAAAGTTTTTAGCTTTGAGGTCCGGGTTATAGATCATTCCGAATTAACGACTTTTGACTGTATTAATTCAATTTTTATACTAATATATATAAATTGAATTTTGAAAAAATTCTTATCATTGTATTGTCATTTATAAAGAATGTGTGTACAAAATTTGAGTTTGATAGCTTATCAGGAAGCAGTTTGAAAATCAGTGACAAATTTCTTATAGCAACAAATACTACGAGTTAGCTAAATAAAAGCTTATAAAAACAGGTCCATCCACTGTAGAAATTATAACTGAAGAATAATTTGATTCTTGGGGCTAAACTGAATGCTGAAGAATTAATGGATTTATATTGCTAATGTGGATAGCCCATGTCGTTCAGGCAGGAAAAACCTACAGTGATGAGGTGATTTAAGTTTGGTATTGACTGACTGAGCTGGGGGGAGGGAGGAAAAAAAAGCTGGTTCTGATGTCTGTTTTGTGGTAATTTTTTGCCATTGGTTGAAAATATCCTAATGGAAACTATTAATTCTGAGTACCTATTTCTGCTCTCTGTACAGCTTTAAATATATTTTTAAACACTTTTACTGGATTTAATGGTAATTTTTATCATTATAGACTTTCTGTGTCTGTTGATGAAGAATCTTTAAAATCATATTCTTTTGAAATGGCTAGAAAGAGATGTCGAAGAATTGAACTTGATCCTGGCTGCCTTTCTTGGGAACCACAGGTTAATAGTTTTATTTATTCATTTACACTTTAATAGCTTGCTCATTTGTTTTTTTTAGTAGTTATTTAATAGTTTATATGTGCAGTTAAACACTCCACAGAGAATGGGGTTTGTAACGAACCTCAGCCTATAAGCAAACGAATGAACTTTTTATTTCCATCTAATTTCCTATACACTTTGTATTAATGTATGTGGCTATTACAAACCTCCAAATGTATGATAATTGGATATAACCAACTCTATGTATACCTTTGACTTACTATATTTTTATAGTTTTAATATTTTTTTGCAAGATTTTTTGAGTTTTAGCTATAAAATAGTAACTCTTAAAGTGATCTGTGTTTAGGATGTTTGGATCCATATTCCTTTAAGGATTAAAAAAAAAAAAAATCCTCTTTCCAAGTTATTGTTTTTTAATATTTACTGCCTCATCTTTCTCTGTGCCTTCAAATGCTATGCAAAGTAGGTCAACACCTAGTTCTTGTAGAACCAGGACATATAAGAATATTTTAGGACACTAAAGATCTTGAATGGGTTCTCTGATTCTATTCAGATTCTGTAATTAAACTGTCAGAAGGAGCTCTCTGTTGAAGGCAGATGCTATGATGGAAATTATGCTGTTCAAGGAAAGAGGAAGCTGTGAATAGATACTTATGAAAATGTGCTTCGTCTTTTAAAGAATGAAAATTTTCAGTTCTTAACAGTTTATTTTGTTTCAGTATCCAAACTGCCATGACGATTGATTTCTTTAGATCTATTGCAAGATTTAACATATTCTTTATAAGGGCTACTTCACTTTTATTTTGCATTCCTAAATATCTTACAAGAAATTAATACATTCTTACTGGATAGGACAGATGAGTGATAATTTTTTTTTCATTTTTCATATTTTCCAGAAGAATGAAACTTCACGTATCATTTTACCTAACACTGTACTTGCAAAATAGTTGGTAACTAAAATGCATTTGTGTGCCGAGTGGTAAACAAATAGCATTCTCTATTGAAGGTTAAAGGTCAAGCATTATTCGAAATTAGATTCTACAAACAACTAAATAAATATCTGTCCAGAATATAGTGTACTCCAAATCTACAGTTGGTATCATATGGAAAAAGAGACTGTATAACTTGTACTCAGTAATGAAGAAGCATTGCTGAAAAGATTCCCATTCAAAGAAGCTGTAATCTGAAATTTTCTAAACAAATGCTAATAATAAATATGTATTTTAGATAGATATGATAATTGGAGGGATGGCATAACTTTTATGCCAAGTAATTTGTTGTGTAAAATATAAACATATTGTTATGAATTTTGTATATGTGTAAATAATTGTAGTGAAATTATATGTAAAATTTTAGTATCGCTAATGTAATAAAACATGAAGTGGCTCAAAAATGCAAAGCTCCATAGGAAAAATGATTGCAGGGGCAGGTCATTTAACATATCTATCTATCTATATCGCAAAATTGGGAAGATAGCACCAAGCTGGCGAGGGTTTTTGCAACTAATTTTCATCACCAAATTTGGCAAGAAATCGCCAAACTTGGCAACTGTTGGGCAAAATTTTGGTCCAGTCCTGGTATATTTTAAATGTACAGGGATACTATAAATGTTTAAAATGGCCCAAATGCCCTATGTAACTGTATATGCCTTCCATGAATTTTGAAAAATGGAAGGTACTGTTAATTTTTTAGTGGCTGAAAAAAACTACATAAAGCCGGAGAGAACATTAGTTCACAGTTAACTTCAGCATATTGAGAGATCTCTGTGAGAGCTTAGATGCATTTTTTGTTGTATTTAAAATTCTTGGTAATTTGTAGTAGTAACTGCCGATTGTGCTGTGAGAAGATCTATACGCGTACTTTTGTGAAAAGTTCCTGGACTGTAAAGTGTTTCTTTCTCATCATTTATTTGTGTATTCAATCCATTATCAACCTGTATGCACGCAACAGTATGTTGAAACTGAAAAACAACAAAAACAAATTAATAATTAGTTTGCCAGTAATATAATTTTTTTAAAATTTGGAGTTATTATTCATTTCTTTAGGAAGTTGTGATAATACTAATTAGTCATTTTTCTGATTCATCAAGAATTTTTTACTTTGTGTTGCAGAGACATTAGGTTATTTTGAAGTAGAAGACTTGAAAAATTAGTAGTGCCCTCACCAGGTCGAGTCCCGGACCTCTCGAATATGTGCCAAGCGTGCTGACCGTTGCATCACGAAGGCATGCCAAAAGGAGGGAGAAAATACCTTATAGTGTTTTAAGATGATCCTTTTTTTTTTTTTTTTTTCCTTATCAGACTGAATATAGTAAACCAAATTTTCATTCCCTTGAAGTTTGTTATTGTGGGGTTAAGCTGTATATATAAATTAAATTTTTGTAGTTACTAAGTAACCGTTATTGTGTATCTTGTGAATGCTGTACAAAACTTATAATTTGTTTTGATAGATTTGAAAATGTCTAAAAGGGATGCCTGCAATTTTTTTTATTTATTTATTTATTTTATTTATTGCAGCGGAATTTCAAGAATGATAATTGTAAGAAATGCAAGAAGGAAGTATCCAAAGTTCGAGATAAAAAGAAACAGCTGCTGAGTGAGCGTGTGAAAACTAATAATAAAATGGAAAAAATATTTGTTGGAGGTGTGTGGTATTCGAAGGAAAAAATTAAATGTGAAACGTGTCTGCTCTCTCAGGAAAGGGAAAGAAGGAAACTATTAAAGCATAAGAATAAAAGGAAATTAACAGAAAAGCATATTGAATTAGATGCTATTTTAGGAGAACAGAAAAGGAAAAGAATGAAACTTTCTAGCATTCATAGCTCCCTTATGGATTCCAGTGATGATTCTGTAGATTATTTGAAATACACAAGTGCTAAAATCAAGAATTTGAAGCGAAAACTTTTGAAGAAACATAAGCTAAAAATGCAAAAAAGGTTTCAAGAACAAAAGCAAGAAACAGGTATGGTTTCGGTTATTAAGAAATTGTAACGGTAATTTAAACTAGATGTATTCTGCTTAAAGTACTATATTCATATATATATTCAATATAGTATTTTGGAATATTTATTCAAAATTTAAAAGTAGTATTCTATAAAGTGTAAAAATTTGAAGAATGTAAACCTCTGTAACTAAAGTTCCATAACTATTTCATGTATTTGGAACTACAACTTCTCTAATAATGCTTTTTTAAGAATGCTTCTAATAAAGTTTTTGTAATTCTGCACTAAAACGTTTTTCACAAAAATTACATGCTAATTTAAAATTTAAATTTAATCATGTGAATTCCTGAATTACTATATATTGGCCCTTGACTTTCACACATAATTGGTTCATGAAAATAAGTGCAAAAGTTGAATGATTGAAAACAGAGGGATGTTAAAAAAAGGAACATTAAAACTTGTATTTTAAAATATTTATCAGTATACATAATTAAGTTAATGAGGTGGGTTGAAGAGCTTTCAGGTGTCTTTTTTATAAATTTGACAGAGTTAATTTTCATTCATATTTTTGATTTTCAAAATTTTGAGTATTTGATCAGCTCCCTCGCTTTTATAGTGTATTTCATTTAACACTTGTTCCTCAATTAAGTTTTCACTTGAAAGAAGTATTGAGTAAGATTGAAACGGCTTATTATCATTTTCGTTGTTGACATCCAAGATTAGTTCATTCATTAGGCAAACTATTTCATCTGTGATAGTTTCTGAAATTTCTTCAAAATTTATAAAATCACTCATCATTTGTGGACACAGTTCTTTCCAGAAACCTTTCATTGTTGATTCTTTTGTTTCAACCCACAGGTCTCCAGTATTGTTTATTGCAGTCCATATGTTATGGTTCTCCCAAAAATCTCTTAACCAAGGTTGTACAGTCCTTAAGAGTCCTTAAAAGTCCTTAAGTTTGATTTTTGGTCCTTAAAAGTCCTTAATTTCAGCCAAAATAGGCAGAAGGTCCTTAATTTTAATCATCTGAAATTTCTGTTTGTTTTTATGTCTGTCATTTTGAGTGTGAATTAGCATTTTGGAGAAATATTTTTGGCGATTCGCTGACAAATATGGTCTTTGAAAATATCTTTTGAATGGGTAAATGCGCTAATGGGTTATAATTTGTTCCTATTTCTAATACAAATACGGAATAGAGTTTCTGAGCAAGAAGTCAGACGTAAGCATTTCAAAATTATTTCATTTTTTCTGATGAAGAACATTTCGCTTTTGGGGATGTAAATTCTTTTATTTTCTTTTATTAAAAATGGTTCTAAATTTGGCAACTTATCAACATTTTAACGATTTTAAGATCAGTTTCTATAGAAATATTTTAATTCCAAAATCTGTGAATTTTTTATGACTTTTTTAGAACATTATAACGTTGATAAATTTCATAAAAATAATGTAATGAATTGTAATTATATTTAAGAAGTAACATTAAAGAAAGCATTTTTATTTTCCTCTGTCATATTATAAATTCCATTTTGGCCTTTTATACAATATTTTGAATCTGAAAAATAAGCAAGGTATAATGTTATAGCAGCGCAATTTATGAAACAGTTCTTAGCAATAGCAAAGTAGCTATGTAATTAATAAAGTTTGGTTTATTAGATTACGGCAAAGCACTCGAGGGCTATCTGCCTTAAGGGAGGGATGCCTCGTGAAGGACTTTTTAAGGGAAACTGGCTCGTATACACGTTACACATGGGGAAAACCACGAAAACACCCATGCAGACAGCCCGTTCGCGGGATGACCTCGGACCGAACTACAGTGTTCAGCGACGTACTGCTCGGCGCTGGTGGGCCCTGTAATAATAAAAAAAGTCTTTTAATTTTGCATGGTAAGAGTTTCCCCATGTAATTGTCTCAGAATATGCATCAGTTTTCTCTATAAAATTAATTTTACACTTTTTCTTCCATTTCCCCCCCCTCAAAAATTTTCTGGCTTTTTGCTGTTATAGAATTGGTAGGGGTAATTTTTCTTTAGGATTTTAGACATTGCAGCTTGGAAAGTTTAGAAAGATTTGAAGGCAAGATTTATAAACCTACGATTCTAGAAGATTCCAGAAAAATGTGACAAAATGGAACATAATTAACTTTAATGTCTCCATGGTATTAACCTGTAGTTTCTTACTTTTTGGAGGATGTCTGGAAGAAAAATGAAAACATAATAGTTGAATGTTTTACTTTTGATACTAGATTTTTTTTTCTTAACATTTTTATCTTCCCTTTATTTTCTCAACTTTTCACTAGACACAAGCATGGAAAATATAAAGAATGCTTCTTATCTTATCATATGGACAAGCAAATTATAGAAAAGAAGTTTTTTATTAATAAAGAAATTGAAACTGACAATTAAAAGATTCATATAAGATGTCTAGCATGCACAGGGGGGCCTATTCATTTCCATCTGAGAATCTTGGGATAACAAATTCTGCTGCTTGGTGCCTTTCTAGGCCTCCTCTAAATTTAAAAGTTTTGTAATTAGATTGTTGCTCGGGTGTCACTAAATTCTAAACTTGCCACACCAGCTCTGTAACCAGACATTACATATATATTTCATATTCTTCGAATTTTCATATTATGGAAATAAAATTAGCAGCTTTCCTTTACATTCTAATGCATTTAGTCTTTTTAGATACAGAAATCTTTAATTAAGTCCAGAAATCCTAAAATGAAAAGGAAGTGGAAGAAAGAAGAAACCGAAATAATATTATTCTTCAAAAGATTACAGTTACGGGGTTATGTAAATACCCAGTTCTTACAATTTCAGCATTTACTATAATTTCATTTCATTTTCTCACCAGAATACAAATCACTTAGCAGTTTTTAAACTGAGTTTGGAATGTAGACAAGAGTGTGTTTCTGACCTCCATTGTTTTTCAATAGTTCCTGCCAGCTCTTATAATGTAATTATGTCTTTGCATAACCGCTGCCGACATTTGAATTTGTTGTGATGATAGAGTTATTGAGCCAGCTTAAGATGAAATTAAATTGTATAGTCTTTGACCACTAGTCCATATTTTTAGCTTGAATTTTACTCTTATTTACATCACTACAAGCTGTAATTGACTTTGTTAGCATAAAAACATGCCTTTATATTCTAACTTCTTTTTAAATAAGAAGCTTATTTAAACCTGTGTGACTTTGTCGTTACTTTCAGATATAGCGATAATTTGCTTTGCATCAGTTGGGGGGGTTGTACTATTTAACTTTTACTAGCTCAAGTGAAACCCTTATAGGTACCTTGTGGAGAGGTTGGCAAGTTAAGAGATAAAGCATGCAGAAACTAGTGAGAACATTGGTTTGCATATTGAGACAAATCTCTAATTATTGTTAGGATAGATGCTTAAATAGAAGGAAATCAATATACACTAGCCAAAATGTTTGGGAAGGCTTCAAATTAAAATGATGGATAAATATGTTGAGTATTGTTACAAAACATAAATGTTTTGTAGCTTTTAATGTGCAATTATTCTGATATCATTTAAGAATCTATGTCATAAATTGCATGTATTTTAAACTGTGAAATTTTATTAGTTTTTGCTTGTAATAGGGCTTTTTTAACAAATATTGTTAAAAAATAAAATTTAATAGCGATCATGTAAATCCATAATGACTAGGTTATAATACCTAATTTAATTACTTGTAACTAACGCTTATTCTTAAAAATTATCTCAGCTATTAAAGCGAGTTATTGCCTTTCATTTAACCCTTACCGTGGTCACAAGATAAAACACAAATATGTAAAAATTCATCTAAACCTTATTCTTCGCATCTAGTGAGACTTAAAATAATGCAAAACAACTTATCACCTCTGGTGCTTTAGTGGATTGTTAGAACCGTAATGTATATTAACTGAGTTACAAGCCCTGGAACTCTACATGAAGCTATTGGGTTGGCAACTAAGTAATTGCGGATTTCACACATAGATTGCTTAAGTTGAATTTTTAGGGTTGCAGACGTAGTACAAATGTAAAACACATTTTGTTATTTGATAGTAGGCAATTCAGCTGTCAATCAGTAAAAAACGTTTTTTGATAGGTTGCGTAGTTTTCGTTGGGTTGTTGAAAAATGGAAATCAAAAGGAACATTTTATCATATTTTGCTTTTTTATTTTTGCAAAGGGAAAAACACATCGCAAGCTATAAAAAGTTATGTGCTGTTATGGTTGACGAAGCCTTAAAAGAACGGCAGTGTCAAAATTAGTTTGCCAAATTTCGATCTGGTGATTTTTCACTCAAAGTTGAAAAACGCTCTGGTCCTCCAGTTGAAGTTGATGACGACCTAATCAAAGCAATAATCGATTTGGATTGCCACAGTACAACACGTGAGATTGCAGAGAAGCTTCATGTATCCCATATATCCATTGAAAATCACTTAAAACAACTTGACTATGTTCAAAAACTCAATACACGGGTTCCTCACAAAATGAAGGAAACGCATTTAACGCAACGCATTAACAGCTGCGATTTGCTAAATAAACGTAATGAAAATGATCCATTTTAAAAACGATGAAACTGGCGATGAAAAATGGGTTGTTTACAACAATATCAAGCGGAAAAGATCGTAGAGCAGGCCAGGTGAACCAACTGAAACAACATCGAAAGCTGATATTCATGAAAAGAAGGTTTTTTTATCAGTTTGATTTAATTACAAAGAAATTGCCTACTTTGAACTCTTACCACCCAACCGAACGATCAATTCTGATGTCTACATTGAACAACTAACAAAATTAAACAACGCAGTGGAGAAAAGCGGCCCGAATTGACAAATCGAAAAGGTGTTGTATTCCATCATGACAAAGCAACGCCACACACATCTTTGGTCACTCGGCAAAAATTATTGGAGCTTGGTTGGGATGTTTTGCCACATCCACCATATAGTCCTGACCTTGCACCATCTGATTACTTTTTATTTCGATCTTTACAAAACTCCTTGAATGGTAAAAATTTCAATAATGATGATGATGTCAAATTGTACCTGATTCAGTTTTTTGCTAATAAAAACCAGAAGTTTTATGAATGTGGGATTATGATGCTGCCTGAAAGATGGCAAAAGGTCATTGATCAAAATGGGCAATACATTACAGAATAAAGTTATTTAGTTCCATGAAAAAAATTGTCTTTGATTTTCTAAAAAAAATCTGCAATTACTTAGTTGCCAACCCAATACGACACTCGCTCGTCAGACAGAGCTCAGCTAACTTTCAAAACTTGCCAACCGTGCTTATATCAGGCCTTTCAGGTTTGTTGTTATCGGCAGATCTCTCTGTAGGCAAGCAGGAGCGGTGACAACAGCCAGTCTTTTGTTTTGAATCTGAATGTGAATGAATGTGATTTTACAAATGTGAATGATGAATATGATTTTACATCTCCTTTTAACGTATGACATTTGACATAAAATTTACCTTCTATTTACTAAACCTCTAGACTAAGTACATGCAAAATGAGACATAAAAGGAAAAAAAAAAAAAAAAAACCCAATAAAAAGCTAACTGTGTTAGTAATACGTAAGTAAAATGTCCCTAATCTTCTTTCAAACTATTACTTATTTCAAACTATCTTCAACTATGTCCAACTATTATACGTGTAAAATATTTAATGCTACCTGATAAACTTTATAAAGTGGATTTTATTCTCAAATTTGTTTTATAGTTATGTTTATTAAATTATGTTTAATAAGAATGCATCCTACTTACGAATCTATTTTATTCTTAGAGTGTTATTACAAAAATGGAGTTCAGACATAAGTTGACTGAATTTTAATTGAATTTATTCAGCTCCCATTTTCTGATAGATCCTTAGTTTTCTTCATTAATGGTCCTTAAAAGTACTTAATTTCCATGTGCAGAAATGTGTACGAGTCCCTGCTTAACTGCCGCGGAAAACGTAAAAAATTCATTTCCCAGTACCACGGTTTTTCACGCAGGCGCGCATAGTTCTGAGATGTGTTGGGGGAAAATAAATGTAAGTTTTACTTTCTAAAAACTGTTTACTTTCACAAAATAAAGAAAAAAAAAATGAATGCAAAAAATTTAATGTTTTGAGTAAAAGTATAATAAAAAGGTGTAATTATAATAAAAAAGATCCCTAAAATGTAGTTTCAATCAATTCATTTTTAGACCAGTAAAGTGTAATATAGGTTTCAGTGTTATAACTTCTGAAATCATTATGCCTAAAAAAACATATATTTCTTCTGAACTGGTTGAATGCCACGATTTTGTTCTTGATTTTTCGTTTGCAAGGTGTTGGTTCATATACTCATTATATTACAAAACAGTTAGTTTCAGTAACAATATGAAGTGTGAGCAGTTCATCAAAAAAGATAAATGGGTTTGAAACATCCATTATATCTTTCTTTATTCCTGGAACCTAGTACAAAAAGTAAACAAAAAACGGAGGACACAGAATTAAAAAAAAATATGTTACTCAAACACCAGCCAATACTGTGTGGTCATTTTTTTCACCGCTTTAGACACACCCCTCTGTCCAATTTCTCCCCACACTTCTCTGAAATAGTATCCTCCTTCGCATACTTTGTCAAGTTCATTGTGGTGTTGCATTCCAAAGCTTTGCGAATAATTTTACGGGTAGCAGCGCAAAGCAAATAATAGTAGTTTGGAAGGGCATATATATATATGCCATGGCAGTTAACACATCAGCTGAGCAAGGCGTATATATATATGCCCGCAGCAGTTAAGGGGCTTATTTAGGCTCACCTTCTCTGCTGGTTACGTTAATGGACTGACTCATTATTGTTCTCATATAATATCATTTAATAAACGTTGTATGGTCCATAGACTGTATGAGATAGGTGGGAAGAAGAAACACATTGATTTCTGGTTATAAATTCTATACAAATTTGGGCTTACCTGGAACATTGTCTAGGATCAGTAATGGTTTAAATTGCAATTTTTATCTTTATTGACTAACTGCTACTGCTGGTACGAAACAAAGAGTGCGCTAATCTTTTAAGTATTAGCTCAGTAACCGAGGATTTTTTTTTCTTATTTTATTTCCTAATAACTGGAAACCTTTACAGTGCTCTGGGAATTATCTATTTGATAAGCTAACATTTGCTTCAATTTTAATTGATTGGATAAGTTTGCACCAAGAAGCACTGTCTCATGGTTTTTAGAAGGTTTATGTCCAAGGGGAACTGATTTGTCTAACAATAAGAATGTACAACTGTGCATTTGTTTTCCAAAACCCATCTCATCTACATTGAACATTTGGCTTGGAGAATATATTCCATCTACAGTAATTCTGGACAGCAAGGGAATAAATTCTTTTGCAGCAGCTTTATCCATATCAGCCAGTTTTTGAGTGAGATTAAGTTTGTGTTAAGATTACCTCATTTTAAATTTGTCAAATTAGCCCTTATTTCCTTTGTAATACCATGTTATCTTTTTTTGATTCATTCTTTCAGGCTTCATGCAAACTAAGAGCCTTAGGTTGAATAACTGAAAAACTTAGACAGGCATCGTTTTGATGTTGAGCATCAATTCATGACAACAAAATCATGTCTTTTGTAAACAATCTTTAAATATATTTTTCCACATTTTTTAGCATATTCCTTAATTTTTTTTTTTTTTTTTCAAAATCAAACATATTGTAAACCTGGTTTTGTCTTACAAATGGCTGTTAAACCAAAAGATTTACTGCTTTAAGAATGTCTTAATTATTTCCATCCTTGTCTCTATCATATGAAGTTTATGAGTCCTTAATTTCTTTTTATTCATATCAACACCGCAGTTTCTGCATTTCTTATTCATGTTTATAAATTTATAAGGGTGAAATATTGAAATGCAAATAAATAAATTGGCAAAATGCGCAATGCATCCACACATGCCCTAACACAAGACTGATCTTGTCTAACAAATTTTATATGTTTGGCCCCCACTACCACAACTTGGACTCTGTGTGGCGTCACAATGATTTTGTCGTGCTGCTTATAAGAAGCATATCCTTATATGATTTATAAGCATGTTCTTCTTTCATATAAAGTTCATGGGTTCTGAAATGTCCACTACTCTAGAGTGAGTGTGAGTTATGATGCTTGATGGAAGTGACTGCATAGAAACAAATAATTTTTGCAGTATTAACTAAAATCTTTAAAAAAATGTGCGAAAGACGAATATGTGAAAGTCAAGTGCTGCCTGTACTGTATTTTGATGCAGTTTGTAAATATATATACTTTATCATAATTATTATTAAAATATATATGTTTTAATATTTATTGTTTGTGTTTTAATAGTTTCTTTTCCATTGACTCAATTTTTTTTCCCCCATTCTAGATATTTTAAAATATGCTGTTTTAGGAGAAAGTAAAAGCTCAAAAATTAAAGTTCGTGGATTTTTGAGAAAATCTAGTAAGCTTAATATAGAGTGTCAGAAGAAAATGAAGCACAAGCGTATTAAAAAAGATCGATATAAAAAACTAAGGAAAAAGGATAAATCTAAAAATTACGTATTAGATATTACTAAAGATAAAAAGAAGCACAAAGTTAAAATGAAGAAGAAAGAAACAAAATCCTCTGAAAAAGAAACAGATCGAGATGGTGTGCAGACACCTCCTGTTCTATTACCTGCAGTGCTGTCAGATGATGATGATTCATCACGACTGCAGAATTCTGCATCAGAACATGACCTTCTACCTCCACCTCTTCTCCATGCATCAGTTCTTGATTCTATTGATCCTAAAGCAAAATCATCTGTTATTGAAGAACCACAAGTCAGTACTGATGTGTTGGAAAATGCTACTGAGGATAAGGTATGTAAAAGTTTTCGATACATTTAATAAATTTCATTATGTTCATGCTATTTTAGAAGAATGATGGAATAAGTAATGTAAGAAGCTAAAAGTAACTTCTAAAAATGTGTTTCCACATCTAAGAATATGTTTTAGAGCAAAGACAAAGTTTAATAGATCCTTTGGGATATAAAAGATATTTGTAGTAATTTTTTAAATTTTTTCTTCACTAGTGGTCTGGTTAATTATTAAAATGGACCTTAACTCAATTAAACTAATTAATTTATATTTCATCATTTTATTTCACTTATTTGTTGACACCCAGTTTGCCCTCAGAAGCAAAAGTAAGATTTAACACTCCCCCCTGACTAGAATTACAGAATTTCAAGAAATTATATACAAAAACATTCTTAAAGCAATCTTATTAATGTACTTTTAAACAACAATGATACTATTATTATAATTAAAGATATTACAGTACTGGTGCCAACTGCAGTTTTCCTTTAACATATGCAGAAATGTCAGTTTTCTCTAGGAAGTACTGCTATCTTTGTAATCAACCTTTTTAATTCTCCTGACTTTGTTTTGATTTTAACTGGTTTTACTTTATTTTTAGATCCATGATAGACATTAATAACTTGACCTAAAATTCATTTGCAAATTATTATGTAGTGATCTTGTACAAGTATCCTAAAGTACCAACAGAAATATTGACCTTCTCAACCATCCTCTCGGTTCTGTGCTGTAGAGTTCCTGAATAGCCATTTGACGATTTTTTCCAAATAATCTGAACAACCTTTGTTGATCTTTGCCAGTGTCTTAACTGATTTTCATCTACATTTATTATCGTTGGCTGTAGAATCGTGTATCAATCTCCCTAAAAAATAACCCGGGGTCAAAACTTCATAATCAGAATCATTGGAAATGAGTGTAAGAGGTCTCAAATTTGCTATTCCCTCTACTTGCACAGTTATTATTTCAAACTCCACACAAATTTCCTATCGTTCTCTTTAAGTGATGCTTTACAGACTTTACACTGGCTTCCCATAGTCTTCTGAAATGAGAGAATTTAGGAGGAATAAAGTTCCAGTGTATTCCTTCAGAAATGAAATATGAGGCCAAAGTTTTGTCTCGAAATTAATTACATTGTAAAATTTCTTCAATAGAGAATTAGCTGCTCCAAATTTAGGAGCATTATCAGTGAATATTTTCTCATACTTGCCATGTCTAGCCATGAAATGCTTAAAAAGGGCAATTACAGCATTAGATGTTAAATTTGACAAAAGCTCAAGATGGATAGCTCATATTATGAAGCATATACAGTACAAAGTCCGAAATCCGGACTCGTGAGGATATCCACGATTCCGGATTTGGGATTTTTCCAGATATTAGATCATCAGTTTAGATCTAGTAAGATGGCATGTGTAAATTATAAAATTAAAAATATGAAATTGTGATTTATGAAATAATGAAGTATTTGTGATTTAAAGGGTATCAAAATTTACAAAAAAAAAAAAAAAAAAAAAAAAAAAAAAAAAGAGCTTTAATATTTAGTTGTTTTGTTTTTTGTGCTAATACTTTCTCTTTAATTCTGTAGACAGACATAATCTCTTGTTCAGTTACATTGTTGAAGACCTGTAACTGCTGTTTTGAAAATTCGGACTACCATAATTTCCGGAAGAAAGGCCGCATCAGCGTAAATGCCGCACTCGAGAAAAATGGCGGGAAAAAAATTAAAATTACACAGAAACGCCGCAATAGATTAAATTTCGCGTGAGATCGTCGTGGGCCGTATAGATGCAAAAATTCAACCTAAGTCCTGATATATGACATACCAGTTAAGAAAAATGCATGAAATGAAACCATAACTCAAAAATAAATTAAAGGTAAGAAATGTATAGCTTCTGTGCTGTTTAGAGACATTTTCAAAAATTTTCCACTCCCTAATTAAAAACTATCCAACAAGTACTTGTACCCTAACTGATGGGATTTGTATTTGGCAGAATACCAAGAAAAATCCATTCATGCTGAAGGGGAAATACGTCAGAGTTCGTTATTGCGAGGCAGGTGGAGTCGTGTCCGCCTTTGAAAAAAATTGCAGAAAAGGCAGGGGTGGAAAGAGGATGGGTCCTGGAAGATTCATCGAATGGCAGAGGAAAGGGACTATTCAAACTGAAGAGAATGTTGATTTGAAAGGGGGAAGAATGTTATTGTTCTGAGATCTTGTTTAGGGTGAATAAGGCATGTAGGTCCGTTCAAGGGAAAGAACGCAAACAAAATAATGTTCGCAAAAAGCAACTGAGTGGTCTTTTGTGTGGGAACAGCACCAATCTATCCACAATGACAAGGCCATCCAAACTATGTACAATGACCATCATAGGAAATATTTTATTTTTACTGCACCTAAACGCCGCATGGGTAGAAACAACGCACCCGCTGAAAATTTAAGTTTTAAACACGTAAACGCCGCTGCGTTTCTTCCGGAAATTACGGTAACTTGTCAATCAAAATTTTCTCGTTTTCAGTAACTTCTCTGTCACTTTTTCACTATCGGTAGTAGTATTTTCTGGATCTAGAACTGTACTACAGATTCGCCATTCATTAATTCATTGATGATTGAGAAGCATTGTCATCACAATGAAAAACTTTTTTTATATGATCTTCATTTAATAGCACTTCTCGAAATTTCTTTACAAAATCCATTAATGAGAAAATTTCACCATTGTTTTGAGCTATCCGAAAATCTTTAAATTAGCGGCTATCATCATCAAATTTAGCTGTTCTCCACTATTCATATTTGGCTATGCATCATGAGCTTGCCGACTAACAACAAGTTGTTCCATTAAATTTTAGCGTGCTTCTATCGCGCACTGAGACAATTAAGCCTGAATTATATTAGTTTAGTTACTTACTATATTTGTGTCTTATTTCCTGCACATCCTTATCAGAGTTCTGAATAATAAATTCCCACCATATACTTAAGCCTAGATATCTTACCGCCTCGTGCAGTCTCTGTGGGCCCTAAATTCTGCGACTTGATACGACCATATGAGCCCAGTCTCTTTGTTTATGTGAATAACAAATCAGTTATTCTTAGTTCAAACAGCCCTAAATGTAATCTTTGGGTTTTAGGGTATCATCAACAAAATCTATTTTTAGCATATGGGAAGAAATGTTTGGTAAATTTTTCCTCGTCAACATTTTTAGCGCATTTAACTTAAATCTGTAATGATCGCCTAGTGTAATGATAGCATAAAAGGTTACCATATTCCTTTATTATTTAATTACTTACATAAAAAAATTGTTTAGGCATTGCTACATGAGTCATTACTCAAGTTGTCATGTTTTGATAAACATGCGGTGACGAAAGGAAAGTATGATAAAAATAATGATTCGCCAGTTGGCGTCAGATCAACGATGTATCTAGAATGTTTCGGTTTGAGCTGGGTGCCAAGTAGATACGCAGCAACAGAACCAAATTACTCATCGTACAAATTTATGCTAAAATAATTGTTTCTTCAATAACAAGGTATTTTATTTTAGGATCAAAGTGAAATTAGCAATCAGGAGTCTGTAGATGTTTTATTATGCACGGAGAGAAGGAATCAAATGCTCATGTATAAAGACTACCAGAAAAATGTTATTGGTGGTTTTTGAGGTCCTGATTTTAGATCATTCCGGATAATGGACGTCTGGATTTCGGACTTTGTACTGTACATACGCATTTATTAAGCATGCCCATTCTCTAATATGTGGAAGTTACTTTAAGTGAACCACATAGATCCAAACCTGAATCACTAAATGGGGTTGATCTGTTTACTGTATCATACGGTAAATTACACATAATTTTTGAAGACAAAATTGGTTTACATTTAAAGCATGTCACATGAAGTGCACACTTACATTTTTTATGTGCCAAATCTCTAAGACCTAATAATGGTCAAAATTTTAAATGTACTGTATTCAATAATCCTTAAGGGCCAAAATGGAATAATCATCTGTACTCACTAGAAAAATAAATCCTACATAGCTTAGAATTTCTTGACAGGATTGCAGGATATTTCTGAAAAAATGGCAAAGATGCTCTTCCAAGATGGCCACTGGCACGAATTATTTCTTTGCGATCAACAAAGTAATGTAAATTTTTAAGTTACCCACTATGCCCTTTTTACAAGATAGGACCCTCTGCTCATGCTTAATAAGCATTTCCTCAGCTGTTCTTACCTCTTCTACTTTAAGAGGTTGTACATTTTTTAATCCATACCTGCAATTATAAATAAACCTAAAAACATTAATGTCTTTATAATAATTGTCACTAAAATTCAAGAGTTCATCTAAAACATTGAAGATCATGTCGATCAATACAGTTCCCTCAGAAAGGTCATTAATGTCAATGGAACTTTTGCTTTTGTGCATAAAGGATTCCCTTTCACTCAATGTCAGGTGCTCAACCTCTGGAACTGTTGGTTGTAAGCACTTGTAGGAAGATGTGGCTCTTACAAATCTAAAAATCTGTACAAGTCCACCACTTGGAATTGCTCACTAGAGACAAAGCACTAACTTCATGCTTCAGAAGATTGGCAGGATTATGTTTGATTGAACAATAGAATTAATCAACTTCTGGATCTTATCAACACGATTTTGAAACGAAAGAAAGACTTCTATCTTCTGCTGTATCCTTTAATTCAATACAGTGTAACTTTAGAATCACTTCAAAAAATGATATTAGATAAACCTTTATGACCCAGAACTTTTTTGACTTCCATTTCCAATCTTGCAACAATCATTGCACCCAGTAATTCTAGTTGATGCAAGGAAACCTTTTTGACTGGTGAAACTCTTCTCTTGGAGGCCAACAAATTTACAGAAAGTTGTTCTTGATTCTATACTTTTACATAATTGGCTGCACCATACGACTTTTGGCGTATGTGAGAAAAAACATGGATCTATGTCCTTTCATCACATGAATGCAAAACAAATCTTGGAATACTAATGTTACTGAGTTTTGAAAGATCACTGTGCCGAGACCACTCGTCATTCAAAACAGAAGGAAGCTCGGCATTCCATGGTAATTTACATAGCCATAGCTTTCACAATAATATATTTAGTCAAACAGTGAATGGTGTGATCAGTCTAAGAGAATCATATATTTTTCCAGCTCTTTGGAAGATGAAGCGTTTGGTACTTTTCTTTCTTTTTGAAATTTCAGTCAAACAAGAAGTCTCTACACTCAAACTATCTTCCTGAATGTCTCATTGAATTCCTAATACTTTGAGTATCTTTTCATTTGAGCTTAATGGATGAATGTCAAAATGTTTTTCCTCTTTCTTAACTAAATTATTATCATTTATCACCCATTTGCGTAGATTCATCCCAGCTCCATGCGTAATTTTCTTTGCTCACTTGAAATTTTTAAGGCTCCGTATGCATCATCTGTTCCTGTAACAAGATCATCAACATACATACATGTATCAAGAATTTGAAAGGTATCAGGATACACATGTTTTCTACATTTGGATATGCAGCTTTATAGTTGCCACCAACAAAAAGGGACTGGAACTAATACCAAAGAGTGCATGCTTAAATCTATTCATCATCAGTATTCTGCATAGGTGTTACTATTCCTAAAAAATAAAAATCTGAATGCATCTCGCTCTTTCTCAGCTAAAACAATCTGTAAAATTGCCTTTTCTGTATCGCCTAAGATTGCAATTCTATCAAGTCTGAAATATATCAGCAAGTGAAAATAATTTTTTATTCAAATTAATACTAGGCCACAAACAATCATTCAGGAACAAACTACCAATTTCATATGAGCTTGCGTAAAATATAATGCGCATTTTTGTAATAATTCTTTCTTCTCTATAAACCGGCTGATGCAGCATATACAAGACTGGCTTGTTTACTGGCTTCGTATTAACAATACTATATTATCCCTTGATTTAGATACTTATTTAAAGTTTTCTCTGTGTTTTAAGTATTATGCATTACCATGCTGCATTTTTCTCATCAGAATCTTTATTCTTTGTTCTGTGGCAAATAATTATTGATTAAATGTTTCCAATTTTTCTTCTAGGGCAACGGCCATCTTTGAAACTAACAGTTTTATTGAATATCTCTATTGTTTTATCTTCATCGTAAGAATTGGGATTGTCTGTACTACCATCTGATTCCAAATCAAAAAACTTTTTCAACTGTGTCTCAGTATTTTCGTAAATGAATTTACAATGCATTAATTGTTTCTCATGTGGCAGATCTTCAATGCTTCCACTCATCAAATACCCAAATGCTGAGTTTTGAAACAGTAAATTTGTATTGGATACATAAATTTGGCCAGATCCTATCAAATCGAAAATTATTTCAGATCCGAGAAGTAATTGAATTTTACCTGGTTTGTGTTTTGGATCAGCTAACATAACTCTTTGTGGAATCTCAATATTGCAGAAATCAATTTGTCGGGAAGGCATCAAATGAGTAATCTTTGGAATTACAAAAAAAAAAAAAAAAAAAAAAAACTAGTCTACAACTATACGAAAAATAACAGCACTCATTTTTGATTTCACAATTTTTTATGAAAAAAATCTATTATACGACTGTACGAAAAGTAACAGCACTCATTTTTGATTTCACAATTTTTTAAATCCCTGATAAACATCCTACTGATATGTTTACATTTTTCTTTTGCAAATGAAGCATTTCAGCTAATTCTGATGAGCAAAAATGGATCATACTTCCATTGCCAATTCGTTGATCTGGCGGAGAGACGATTTCACAACTGTTTTGTGAAATTGAAATGTTTTCTCACTTATAAGATAGTAACAAATTGTGCTTTTCTCAGCATAGCTGACAAGAATAATTTGAAGGGCAGGTTTTCTCTCCATGATTTCTAAAACAGCAGAAAGATAAATTGGGCTTTATGACATACTCAAATCCAAGCTGAATTTTTGAAATTTAGGACATTTAAATAATTTATGTTCTGCACTACACAGTTACAACTACATACATGCTTTCTGGTCACATATGAAACCATTGAAGAAACCTTTGGTTGACTTTGTGTAGACATTACTGAAGTTTTAGAAGCGTTCAATGTCCTCTAGTGATCTTTTAGAAATTCTAGTAAATCTGTGATATATATGGTATTTTTCCTTTCTTTAAATTTCTTTCCCTTCATAACTTAGTATTCTGGTCAAGTTTCTGGCTAAGAGAAAAAGGCAAATATAATAGATGAAATGCCATCTAACTTTTGTTCTAGACATTCTAATGATCTTGCAACTTCACTTGTAAACATCAATTAAATTAGAATCGCAGAAGCTGACTCATTTTGAATAACAGGAATGCTCATAAATCTTTTGAGATGTGCATACACTTGTTCTCTAGGCATAAGTATTTTTCCTCAAGGAGAGACCATACTAACTTAGAATCTGTTATAGCTATCGTTTGGGTTATTCTAAAGGCATCTCATTTCAGTGCTGATTTTAAATATTGCAATTTCATAGCATTTTATAAATTTGGGTTCTGATCAATACTTTAAAAATATCCTTATGCTAAGGAAAGCCAAGAATGCATTTCTTCTCAAAATGTGGGCAACAAAATCTTAGGTAAATGCACAACAGAATTTTCAGAAATTACAGTACTTTCCAATTTAGTCTCTTTAACAGTTTTCGACAATCTATTATTTATTTCAAATTCTGCATCAATAAGACTACTATTGATTTCATCTTCCTCAGTAAAGATTTTTTCGATATTTTCTTCAGTACTTAAATTAATAATGGAATCAAAAATATTATCAAACTCATTTTGCAAATTGTTAAATTTAGTTTTTAACAATTCTAAGTCACTAACACTTAAATCTGGTTCAAAAAGTTTCTTTTGCAGCAAGATAATTTTTTGAGTTCTCTTTTTAGTGAGAAGGTCTTTCAATTTCATAGCCATTTTTTTATACTTATCAATAATAAATTGCCAAACAAATTTAATTCGGAATTTACTAAGTGCAACAGTTAATGCAAGGGTTACATACCCCTTTCTTTCGGCATCTGGCTGTAATCCATAAATTCTCCAGAAACAAAATTTCAAATTTGCATGTTCTACAACTAGTTTATTTACTGAGCCGATTTTGCTCTGGTTTGTATTGTACCACTCGGAATGGCCCAGCTAACTACTAAAATGAACTGTAACTCGTAACTAATGTAAACTAGTTTACGTTTCATAATTTTTCTCTTATTTGTGGAAGACACTCAGGCAACCACATACATTCTGCTTTGCCATTAGAAGCAAAAATAAAACATTCTTTCATTAACAGTAGCAATGGCAGCACCATCTCACTTCAAAGGAATTTAATAACAAGTAATCTAAATTTTCTTATATATAGTGTAAATAGCTATTTTTTAGCATTTTTATTCATTAATCTCTTTTTATGATATATTTTATATTGCATTATTGTATACTTTTTTCTCAATTGTAATTATTTTTAGTAGAATTATTTGCGTGAATTTCATAAATTGCTCTCTTAATTCTCCCCCTTCCTTTTCAGAGCACTGCAGCCGAAGAAGTAACAGTTGTAGAACTAGAAAAGATAGTACCTGAAGCAGATTTTAATATTTCTGAAGATGTGAAAACGCTAGAGGAAACAAATGGCTCACAAGGAGTTTCGGAACAAGAGCAAGGAAATGTATTAAATCCAAAAGAAGATAATATTCCAAATGACTTTAAAGCTGTTAGTAGGGATGAAGATGACAGCATAACAATGAATACGATAGAATCAGATGTAGCAGATTCTGAAGCTGTAGATAGAGCTATAGCTCCGATTATAAATATTGTAGAAGATGAAGTTGAAAAGGAAGCTTCGTATGATGATGCAATTTGTATTTTGGAAGAAAAAGAGCCAGAGAAGAAACAAGAATTGGAACATCTTATTCTTGCTGAAAACAAAACATCTGAATCTGTCATTTTGCCAACTGAAGAGCATGAAAATATTAAATGTCAGAAAAACCTTGATTGTAATGTAAGTATTGTCTTTCATGATCAACCTGATGAAATGGATATGGATTCTCTTCATGTGCCAGAATCTTCAGGTGTTGCTGATACAGAAAGAATATCAATACCTAGTGAGCTTAAAAATGAAGATGAAGAGAATGAAGTTAGAGAAGCTGTTGAAGTTATCAATGAACAAATGGAACATAGATCTAACATAGACATGCCATTAACACCACAAACACCTGAGTCAGATCATTCTAGAACTTACCAACATCTAAGTCCTTATCATTCTCAGCATGAATGTAGAAGTGTACAAGAAATAGAATCAGTAAACAATGCTGACTGTCAAATTGTAGATGATGTTTCAGTAACTGAAATAAATAAAAGCATTCAAGAATGTGGCTATACTGATCAGCACAAAGATGATGTACAGCAATCTAATAATGAAACATTTTCTCAAGATATCATTGAACAACCTGATATTATAGTTGATCTTCCTCAAGTGTCTCAGCCACTTTCTCAGACTTCTCAGCTGTCCAGTCCTTCAACACCTGTTGGAACAATTGTATCTAAGCATACACCCACCCCTCAAGAGATGTCTAACATGGGTGTATATACTCCTGATTCTTCAACAAACAGTGGCTATAATTCAGTCGAAATAGATGTTTGCCAATTAGGACTTGAATCCCCAACATCTGTTTGTAGCAGTGAAATTGCTCAGAACTCTGTAGAAGCTCGTTCATCTACACCACAGTCTTACCCAGACTGTGCTCAGCTGAATAATACTCCTTCATATTGTGCCAATGTTTCCATTTCAGAAACTTGTTCTAATCCTTCCCGAAGAGAAATGATAGCTGCAGCTGCTGCTGCTCAAGCAGCTGTTGTCCAAGCGCAGGCACAAGCACATCACTCTAATCCTCCTGGTCACTGCATCAATGTTTCTAATCGTAAAAGACAGCATACTGCAGCTATCACCCAGAGAATTGCTAATATACCTCCTGCGGGCCCTGTGTCTAGCTTAATGCAATCAAGTATGGTTAGTGTAAATGCTACTGCAGTAAATGCTTTGTTTGTTGGTCCTGCTCCAAACACAAATAATGGATATATGAATGCTATGAATATGAGTGTTCCTTGTAGCAATGCAACTGCTGGTGGAGGCCCAGTTGCTGGGTCTTACATGGTTGGAGTTCCTGTTGCAACAGTAATACAACCACAGTCAGCCGCTGCATTTGCTGCAGCTTCTATGCAAAATCATCATCAGCTACAACAGACACCACAAAATTTTTCAGTGGCAAATCATCCTACTGGTACTATTTCTGGAGCTATGCAAAGATTAACACATGTTGGTGTTTCCCCAAGTATAGCTCCTAGTTCCTGCCCTGTTTCCTCTGTTACTCCAAATTTCCATATTCAGTCTCCTAGTTATACGTACACACCAACACCTACTCCAACACCTAATACGCCCTCTCAAATTGGTACCAGTTGTAGCCTTGCAAAACTGCAGCAGCTGACTAATGGAATCATGGATATTGTGCCGAATCCACCATGTAATACCATGACTCCGCCTCCAAATATGACACCTCCATCTCCTCAAGTGAATATGACACCCCCACCTCAAATGCAACGCTCTTTGACTCCAGCTATGACTAGCCTACAACCGCAAATACCCATGCAGTCAAGTTCTCATAGTTACAGTAAATACCATTTCCATCATCGGCAAATGCAAAGGAACCCCAATGTTGCTCTTAGTCCTAATCTTGTGGCTAGTTACCAGACTATAAATGGTGTTGGCTATCGTATACAGCAAGCTCCATCTGCGGCAGCTATGTTAAATACCGGTTATATAACTAATGCTAGTTTCATTAATCAAGCGCAGTTACCACCTTCTGCTGCAGTTCAGATGGGAATGGTGAATGTAAATATGCATGGTCAACCTCCATACCAAGAAACACTGCAACCAAATAGGCCGCAGAATGCTATGTATACTACGTACAGCTACCATATAAGTGGTAACTTACAGCCACAGTCTTTAAACTCAGTCATGCGCCGGTAAGCCTGTTTCCAAACTCTACATTGTTTCTGTTCTAGAGATCAAAATTTTGTATTTTGAAAGCATGCCTTCCTCATAAATATTGTAATTTACGAGAGCTAAGAAAACAGAGTTGTCTGGATTAGATTATGTTTGCAAATAAAAAGAAAATTTAACATGTCTGTACTCCTCTAACAACAGGATTGATGAATGGTGGTATATTTTAGAATAACTAAAACATCCAAATTAGTGAAAAGTCCTCCATTGAAAAGACATATTAATTGCTGATGTGTGAATGTTTTAATTATATAAATTTATGAAAAGATAACATTTTATGTGTCAGTTTACATACTGGCACACATACTCATAGTTAAAATTTATTGTAAACTTATCTGTGGATAGCTATCTCAGGATAATAATGCATTAAATATAATTAGTTATATATAAATATGACTAGTTATGGGTTAAATCTATTTAAGACAGAAATATATGCAAGCTGATTTATGAAGTTAAAAAAAAAATCTTCAAAAGGCAACTTCTAATGTTTTACGGATACTGGTGCAAACTTGTTTAGATATTGTTTTAAAAATATGCAATTCTCTTAAACAGGTTTCTGTATAAATTAACAGTTAAATGCTTTATAAAAGCAATAATGCCCAATTAGTAATTTTTCACTAAATTGGCTTTATTGTGTGAAAAATTAATGTTGAAATTCTATCCCAGACTTATTTGTTTAATATTAAATCCATGTTTTTATTTAATGTAATTTTGTTTTTATTTATCGTAAAATATACCAGTGAACTTTGATAAGCAATAAGTAAATGAATGACACATTTTGGTATAATAGTATCTGAATATTTAAATTTCATCTAGTTATGAATATAAGTGAAATAATGAATTTAATTTCTTTGTTATTTTCTTTGACAGAAGCCATAATTTTGATCTATTTTTATGCATGAGGAAAAATTATAGAAATGAACTTTTTATAAAGTTCTATTTTTTATTTATTGAAAATTATAATCTGTCTGCCACTGCAATAGGGATAATCTTCCAGTGCAATTGTAAATCTTATGTAGGAATGATAAAGAATAGTGCTAAGATAATATTCTCTTTGTGTGACTTAAGGTTACAAGGCAGTCATTATCATTATAAGTTTTCTTTGAGGCATTTTAAATAATTGGTATGTAGCAATATTGCATGCGTATAACAACTGTAAAAACTTTAAATTCTATTTTTGTGAGATGTTAATGGCAATAATATGGCTGAATTGTGCCTAGCAAGACTGAGAGCAGCTTGAATATCTCTTTAAACTATTTTAAATACACCATTTTTTAGTAATGCTGAAATAATTACAATGAAAGAATAAGATTTTTTCAATAGGTTCTATTATCAGTAAAAATAATGAGATTTATTCAATAACTTTAATTCAGTAAATTTCTGTTTTGTGATTGAGCATATTAAGAATTAATTAATTTTAGGATTCCAAATGAACATTGCAAAAATTATGTGTTTTCAAAAGTTTAAGAGTTGAAAATCTTTCTGAATAAATTCCATGTATGTGTCTAAATCCCAGTATGAGATTATTTTCATTATTAAAATATGTACATGGATTGTGAATTTTAAAATATAGAAAAAGTTATGCCAAAAAAGTCTAAGGTTGTCATCTCTGTGCCATATTAAGCAAAGTTTATAGTTTTATTATTCATTGTAAATCTTGCATGAGTATCATTCTAGGTGATAATTACCGAAGTGTGATTAAATAATTTGCCTTAGATCCAGTTGCTTTACATATGATGAGGTAATGTAGGCATGTTATTTATAGCAGTTGGTCTGACTCTACAAAGTCTGTCATATAAACCTGTCATGGTTAATACATCTTATTACAGCACAATTTGATCATTGAATTCAAACTGTGTTTTTGTTATAGTATTGGCTTAAATTTGCAACATCCTCACATTGTGAGGGAACCCTGCGCTTCTGAAGGTGTTTTTTTAGGGAAAAAAGGCCTTGTTATATGAGCTTGTTTCATACTTTTTAGCTTGATAAAAAGGTGCTTAGTGAGAAAGCTAATTGAACAATGTAAATGCCAATTGTATCTTAAGATGTAACTGAGTAAATATATATTCTTTTAATGTAAAATTTAAGGGGTAAGTGATGAATTATCATGCTTTTTTAGGGAAAAAAAGTTGTTATATTAGACAATCCATTATGTGAATTTAAATGCTAGTAGATAATGAGTTGCAAATAGTTTATCACCTATTGAACTTTTTAGTAACAAATTACCAATGAAGTGAAGATATGCAATTTAGTATGAACTCCTAATTATACTTTTAAAATTTATGTAAATTTAAAAACAGTAAGTTATGATCGAAACATGATTCTTTCAGAAAAGTTGTCTTTCGGTACTGAAAGTAAAATGAATTTGCAGATCAAATTACAGGTTGTTTTTTGTTCTCATTTTTTTAATTAATAAGCATGCCTTGTTATATATATGACTTTATAGAGAGGGATATTAAAAGTGTATGAATATTTTTTGGAACGGGGAATAAATTAATTTTTTAAAGTTTTTCAGAAATACATATATTATACTTTTGAATTTGTAAAGGCTTTTGTTTATGTGAAGTAGTGCAGCACAAGTAAGAGGCTGCTTTAAAGTAAATGGCACAAAAAATTGTCAATTATGTTTTCATTGTGTATCAAATAAAAACAGCATAGTTAAAGAACAAGATAAGTTAATCTTTGATACATTGAATTTAATTCTCTATTAAACCTCACATGTATACCCCATCTCTGAATTAGGACTCTCTGTAATTATACTTTTATATTAAGTACTATAACAACAATTTTTGTCTTTTGTTTTGTATTGCAGATGAGTTTGCAATAAAAGTGTATTAATTCTTAATTCATTGAACATTAAAAAGACTTTTTTTTACTATCTAATAATGTATGAGGAAAATATCAATATTATGTGTCAAAGGGCCAGTTCCTCCCCCAACCACAAGTAATTTAGATTTGAGGCCAGTTTATACAATTTGTTTTGTTTCATAGTTCCAGAGGCCAGTTTTCATTATGTTTTAATATCATCATTCACACTTTTTCATATTTAATATAATGAAAAGTTTTGAACTTAGATCTGGTACTTTTCTACTAACGCCAGCTTATGTATTTTTTTAATTGCCAAAAAGAGTGATTGTTGCCAAATAGGATAACCATGAGTGTAAACTGTCCTGCTTTCCGTGATATAAATAATTTTTTTATAGTGTGATTAAAGAAGTTATTCTTTTGCATAATTCTTTTCCCTCTGAATTCTTTTGTATGTTAAATCACTGTTTGTGATTTTATTTCACATTTTATTCACAATGAATTTTTATGCTTTAGTTTTTCACATCTGTTTTAGTATGTTACAAATATTTTTAAAAAATACATGTAAACAATATCAAAGTTTTTATCAACACCTTAAAAAAACCCTTTAAGGCATACAATTGTTTTCTTTGTGTGGATTTTTTTTTTTTTTTTTTTATTTGCCAATAAGCATTTCCCTTTGCAAGAAATATTTATTATAGTCTTTATGCTGAAGCAGTTGAGTGGAATAAATGCATAACTATATCTTAAATAATTCTTTTGATTAAACAAGTGCATAGGTCTCCATCTTGCATTAATTTACATTGAAACATTATAGCATTTTTTTTTTTTTTTTTCCATTGCTTTTATGAACTGCTCATTTTAGAAATGACGATTTTTGTCCTATGTCTTTAATTTCTGGGGAGATTAGTTCTTTAATAGGCCAGTTGTAGCTGTGTAATTGCAGATTGCTTCAGGTATTAAATAAAAATTTGCATATCAATACCAGACTGTAATTTTTGTTTAATTTTTTAAAATTTCTAAAGTTAAAAAAGAATTTTGTTAATCTTTTGAAACTTTAATGTTAAAATTCTTCAAAATTTTAGACTTAATCCAAAGTTTTCAGATTGCAGTTTTTCTTTATTTATTCTTACACTGCTTTTTAATTTAAGAATAGTTTAGTGCAACACACTAGTCTTTGCAGAATTAGGGTAGTGAGAGTGTTATTAACAAGCAAAATCTGAGATTATGCCACATTAAAAAAAAAGGAAGAAGAAAGTCAATATTTGGATTTTATTTGAACGTTGTAATCACTCTCTGGTAGAATATCTTATAATATAAAATAACATTATTAGAATTTGAAGCTGTATTTCTTTATTCTATGTGAATGAGTGTACTGATTTGATTACAAATGGTAGTCATATAAAATTGAGCTGTGATCTAAAGCTTCATCTTCAAGAATATTGAAGCTTTTTCTAAATATATAAGTTGCATTGCACTCATTCGCTTATTGTTTGCTACACTAAAAGTGCATATCGGGGAGAAAGCTGTCATGATAAGGTGATATACCATGTATTGTTCTTTAGGGGGGAAGTACTTTTAAAGTAAATATAAAATTTTATGAATTAATAATTCTTGTTTCAATCTATTCAAGGAACAAGTATCATTAATAGTTAATTGATAATAACTAGTCCCCTCCCAAATATTTCAAATCTGGTTCTCTCATGTTTGTGTTATAACTTTTTGGAAAAGATCTTCTATCTGTCAGCTTCATGATATTGATAAGCTTTTATGTGTATGTACTCATTCCTCACTTGAAATGAAGCAAGCCTTCCTTACTAATTAAGGCTTTTTTCCTGTTTGTTTGCTATATATTATTTATTCTATAAGCAAAACTAATATCAGTGTCTCTGGAAACGCATATTGCTTTTATCTAAGTTATAACTAGTCTGAGGCTGAATTTTATTTTATTCTAATACAGAAGCTTCATGAATAGGTATTTATTTGTGTAGAATTTTTTTAAAAATGATGCCAATCTATAGTTGAATTTTGCTGTCTAATAAAGTTTAATTTGCCATAGTTTTGTTATAAAATATTATACATTATTTATTGTGAAACAGTATTTTTGTGTAGTATTAGTTCATTTCAAATTGAAAGCTCTATGTTCACTTTTGAAAGTATATATAAAATTTGAAGCTTTTGACTAAAACATATTTGACAATTTCTGAATGCATTTTCACCATTTTTATATTGTGGAATTTTTTTCTTTCTTTTACGTTTTTTCTTTTGTGAAGGATGTTCGGAAAATAATGGTTTAAGCCAGGGGTTCTCAACCAGTGGTATGCAAAAGAAAAATAGGTGGTATGCAAAGAAACAAAGTATTTTTAACTATTAAATTCAAAAATTAAAACCCCCAACATCCTGATTGAGTTTTTTCTCTAACACTTGTAAATTTATGCAATCTGATCTTTGTTCAAGAGTGGTGGTGGTAGTAGTACTTTGTAGTGGTGGTACTAAAAGTTTTCAATTTTTGCTTAGATGGTACACGTTAGTTAAAAGGTTGAGAACCGCTGGTTTAAGCATCATAGAAGTTACATTATAGTGTCATCATTTTAGGTAACTGCTAGATTTTATTTAAAATGGAATCTATTTGAATAGTTAGGAAAACACATTATTTTGAAGCAGAAATGTTGTTTCCTAGAATTCACTTGGTAGAAGTTTCATAACTACTATAGGGTGACAACTTTCATCCCATCGAGTACTAAATACAAAAATGGAAGTTGAGTGTACTCAAACTTGTATGTTTACTGTTTAGTGAATTTCAAACAGTTTTCATTTTATTTTGTGGAAGAGAAATAATATCTGAAGACTTGTGCATAAAATTTGCTCTTGCAGTTCTATATTAGAAGCATTAGCTTTCATGGAGTTATTCTAATATCACAGTCAGTTCTCAATTCATTGTGGGGCAGGTTTTTTTTTTTTTTTTTTTTTTTTTTTTTTTTTTTTTTTTTCTTGCAGTTCAATGGAAAAATTTCTAAATTACTAGTAAATAGTATTCTTAAATGCCATTTATAAGTTAGATTTCTCATTCTTCACAAATTCAACAATTACGTGCCATGTGTTCATTTTGTTTTGAATACTGATATAATTTACATAACCAAATAAACTAAACCCTTCTTCAGATTAAAAGTGCAGATAAATTGTTAATAGTAATTTTCTCTTAATTGTAATATGGGTTATTCTTTTTTTCCTGTGCATTTTTAAAACTGCCTTTGGATTCACAGTAATTTTAAGTTAACCAGGATTTTGTTCCCAAATATTACGCAGTAAATCTGGAGTTGAATGTAGTTTTTATTTTTAGGACAAATTTTAATATTTTTATTTATAAGCTTCAGTTATTTAAAATTAATTATAAGAGATCGATTAGATTCTATTTGAGTAAATTGTAGTCATTTTAACCCCTCTTTTCTTACATCATAAGATAACAAGTAACACATACAAAGTATATATGTTGGTGTGTAAGATTTAGTGTGCATAAGTATTTTAAGAATATTCATGTAAATTTTCAGCTTTGTTTACCTCATACTAGTCATCTTTTATTGTAAGTGGCAAACAGTTTATGAACATATTGACTATGTTAAGAGTTTTAAAGTTTTTTTATGCATCATATTAAAAAATATATAAAGTATCATATGCAAAAATTCTATAACCATTTAGTCTTAAATTGATTAATGAAGCGGTGAAGAAAGTATTTTAATTACTGGAATAAAAAAATTTTATAGTACATGTGACTTACATATTCTATTCTAAGAATAAAATACAACGAAATGTATTATGAAACTTTGTGCTTTCCAATATTAGAATTTTGAGTTTTTTAATAACCTTCCTTTTTTTTAATGTTAGAATTAAAGCAAAATTAAGTAAACCTTTTAATAAGTTATAATATAAATCTTGTTAATTTTTTGTATAGATTTATCTGTTTTTTTAATATTTTAAGAATGTTGATTATTACATTTATATTTACTGAATAAATTATTTCATTCCTGTAATATTAAAATATAATTGTTCTTCCTAAAAGACATTATTTTGATCATGTAACTTTATTTTCATAATTTTGTTTTCTGGAAGTATGCCTAGCTTAAATTATCGATCATTGTATTTTGCTATTAAGTGTATAATTTTGGAATATAAAATATGCAATTTATTTTAAAGCTAGAAAAGATATATGTATCACTAGAGTGGTTATAAGAAAGGAATTAAAATACTGTTATGCAAGAAAAATGTTGTAACTCTGAACAAATTATTTAAGAAAATCCCCCATGTTTAGTTCTGAGTAATAGTTTGGGCTTAAGGAGAGAGGAAAATAGAACTATTTGTTCCAAAACACAACTTATCAATCCTTTGAGTTCTATAGCTAAGTTTACAAATGGAAAAAAAAAAAAAAAAAAAGAATAATGAATGAATAAAAAGTTTCATAGTTAATGTTTTGATATGGAACCTATGCAATTTTTATTGTATCTTGTTACTTTACTGTCTGAATACATGTTGCATGTTTTATTCTTTGTCTTTTTATATGAACTATGAAGAAATTTTTTAGATTTTTATTTATGCTTTTGTATTAGCAATAAATATTATGCATGAGTATACTATGGGCTGTATGCATATATGCAATGCAAATGATGTTTCTCTTGCATAAAATCCCAGAATAGACCTATGATCTAATCATGTGTACTAAACCCTTGAATTTGTATTGTCATTGCTTTCAGAAAAAAATATAAAATCAAATAGCCATTATTTTTTTAAGTTTAAATTTTCTATAAATATATTGGTGAAGTTT